AAACCTTCTAGTTTTAATCCGGCCAAAGCTCAGAGCCTTGACTTTATGGCAGGCCATGAATGACAAAATCCTAAGTGAAGTCCAAGAGCAAATTCACCCTTTCCAGATTTACCTAAAGGAATCCCAGCACAAGATCCTCCAAACATACTATCTCAATATGCTTTCACATTGCAATTGAAGATTGTAAACGGAAGATTTTAAAGGAAAAAGACCTGACCATGAAAAACTGAAGAAAGCTGTGTTTTCTGGCAGGGAAAAATCATTCGTTTGTCCCAAATTGCTTTCATAACTCTCCACTGTGTAAACCATGAATCCTATTAAATTAACTCAGCCCACTCAATAACCCGATTCTCCCTTCACGGAACCCACTGGAGAGAGCTCCTGGTCATAAAATAGAAATAATAGCTTTAATAAGAGTACAGCAAATGGGCTCAAAGCTGGACTCACTAAATCTACTAATGCTTCGTTTATACTGACTCCAAATTGAAAGTAAGGGCATGTTAGAATGATAAGCTAAATCAGACAGAAAATCTACAGCTAGGTGTTAGCAGGTACAAAATATAAACACTAGCTACGTGAAGGCCTCCAGCTATTAAAAAGCAGAAATTACTGTCACGCTCTGCCACCAAGAGCTTGCCTCAAAAATTCTAAAATCTATGCATTCTCGGAAGAACTATTACTCATTTTTAATTATTTTTGACACTGTCAGGCTACTGTGCTCCACTTATTAATTCTGTAAGAGGAAATAATGTCCTTTTTTATAAATAGTGAAAACTTACACAGAGAAAGGGAGGCTTTTCGGTTCATTCCTCACAATATGAAAACCAATTTCTCCATTTCTCAATGTGTCAGAAATAAACGTGAAAATGGATGAAGTCATTCTTTCCCAATTACAACTGAGCCTCTCAGGAAATGTGGCCATAACTCACAACTGGTCCAAAGAGGCTTCAGTGAGGTGCCACCGAGTGCCCATCACGTCTCAGTGACTGAAGTGGGTAAACCAAGGTTCTTCTATAGCTTTTCAGGGTTATACCATTAACAGAGAACATACTGAAGCAGTCACATCTCTGCAGATGCTAAGTGGTACAATTAACAGTTTCCTACTTTGACTTCAAAGCGGGTACTAGGACACACATATCCGATAAGAGGGAGCCAGGATAAATGATATTAAAGTCACAGAGTAGACCATTAACACAGGTTTTTAAAGTGCTTTTAAGAGTATTTGAAAACACAGGAAAATACTTATGTTTTTGTACTTCCAAAAAAAAAAAAGTGCAAAATCACATAAGCACAGAACCTCCTTCTATCTTCGGGCCTTTGGCACCAAATGAAGCCTCCTTCCCTCCTTGTGCCTAGTTCGGTGTCCTCAGGCCAGCAGCAAGCAGAAGTGGGGACACAGATGCTCAGACTTACTGAATCAGAAGCTTGGGGAGTAGAGCCCAGCAACTGGTGTTTATCAAGCCCTCCAGGCAATTCTAAGACCACTGGCTAGTTCTTAGCCACTCTTGGGTGTCCACTGAATTAGCAGCTTGTCAGGGAAGCCAGAGCTCGCCAGCCCCACCCTGCCAGCGTAGGTAGGTCAGCTGTACCCACAGCCACCCCGACTCTTCTTTCACAACAGCTATACCAGTTTGTAGTTATTTATTTATTTATTAAAGATTTATTTTTTATTTACACAATAGCTGGGGCACAGGCCAGAGGCGCGGGTGGGTGAGAGGATTCATCACAGACAGAGCGGGGAACAGAACAGGCAGACAGACCGAAAGCTCTGCTGAGGGGAGCAGCGGGCGAGACAGGAGAGGTCTGCCGCGCCATGTGGGACCCTCCCTGGCGGGCTGGGAATTGAACCCACGCTGCAGAGGCTGCGGACAGCTTTACAGCACTGCGCTCAACCTACAGGGGGAGGCCCTGTAGTTACTTATTTTTATGATGATACAGTTAGTGTCTTTCAAAGTCTGGCTGCACGTTTGACGCATGTGAAATGTCTCAAAAATCCAGATGCCTGGAGGATGACCCAATTAAAACGGAACACACTGGGAAAGGACTCCAGCATGTGTATTTTGAAATACTGTGACTGCACTGCTGAGTCAAGGCCGGGAGCCACTGTATTAGACTCAGGCTTTGTGAAGAGCAGGTGATTGGCAAAGGCGACCAGTATGTGGAGTTCTTTATGTTGCTGGGGTCTTGTTTTTAATCTTGCATGGGTACAAAATGGCAAATGTACAAAAAAAGTGTTCCGTGAAAAGCAACTCTCCCTCATTCTTCATCCCCCATATCTGAGGCAACTGTAAGTTTCCTTAAAAGAGTAAGTATTTGTTAATGCAGACAGGAAAAAGCAGAAGTTAGGTGGCAGGATCATGGATCATTTTCCTGCAATGCCCATCCGTGTTTTCTGTGAAATGCATGCCATAAGATGTTTAAGCAGGGGGCTGTTGCCAGTAGTTCTGTGTATGTTACTACTGTCTCTCTTTTAGACCAGAAGCTCATGTGGGCCAAGACTTATCTTCTATGGTTTCAGATTCCTCCCTGGTATTTGGTTCATAGCAAAGGTTTAATACTTAAATTGTAGTAAGTACTTGGTAGATGACAGACTGAAATAGGTGACAGCAGAAAATCAACTCCACATAATAATATCACTGTATCTTAAATGTGATAAAATACACACATCTAAAGTCCAGCAATCTATGCTGCTGTGGTATATGTTGCAATTCACTGCAGTTTGGCCTTGATTAACTGTTTTTTATAATGAACAAGTAGCCATGTACAAGTTTAATCATTTATTTGAGTGTTTGAGGTTAAACCTATTTCCTAAACATCTCTTTTTTAAAAGAAAAGATTTATTTATTTATGCATACAAGAGCTGGGGTACAGGCCAAAGGTGTGGTGGGTGAGAGGATTCACAGAGACTCTGTTAGAGTAGGGAGCAGAACAGGCAGATGGACCAAAAGCACTGCTGAGGGGAGCAGCAGGCGAGTCAGGAGAGGTCTGCTGTGCCATGTGGGTTGCTCCCTGGCCGGTGAGGGATTGAACTCGTGTTGCAGAGGTTGTGGAGAGTTTCATAGTGCTGCGTCTTAAGCCCTTGCGCCACCAGGGAGGCCCTAAACATCTCTTTTTGAAGAAATTACACATACTATACTAAGATCCAAACTTCTTGGCTCATCAAAATCCATGAGCTCATTAAAAAATATTTCACAGCTTACCAAAAATATAAAATTATGAAAAAGAATTAGAACTTGAATAAAACTAGATTTTGAGGGATGAGTTAATATTATCACATCCATTAGGACAGAGTTTCTATCATTATGAAATATTTCCAAATATTGTTTTATTAATTTCATGACACAGAATGTAATAAAATCTATTCTACTATAATTAAAAAAGCAATGGTAGATATTTGTGCCAAAAAGAAAACTCTCTCCAAACATACATTAGTCAGGTGTAATCCCTCTGGCTTTTTTCCCCATCCCATGGCTAACGCAGAAAGTGAATTAAAATGGAAAGGTATGTGGTATTTCCACTGTAATTAACATTCAGGAAATATGCAAAACGTCAATGGTAGCGAGGCGCCACCAAGTGGCACAATGATGCTTGCACTATCCTGATTGAAAAAGCAATGCTACCTACTCCCTTTTTGTCTGATTCTTTGAATAAGTCTTAAAGTGTATATTAGGTGGCCCGAGCTTTCACATGGGGCTATTTAACAAGTATGCCAGTTCAGACTCATGGCCTGCACAAGCCACTCCTTCAGGAACGGGAAGCCAGGGATAATCTGGGATATAAGGCATATTTTCTTTATTCCCTCAAAAGGTACCTATGAGGGCCCCCCTGGTGGCGCAGGGGTTAAAGACACAGCGCTATCAAGCTATCCCCAGCCACTGTGGCATGAGTTCAATCCCCAACCAGGGAGCTGACCCACATGGTGCAGCAGACCTCTGCTGTCTCACCTGCTGCTCCCCTCAGCAGTGTATTTCAGTAGGTCTGCCTGTTCTGCTCCCTACGCTGCCTCTGGTGACTCCTCTCACCCGCTGCACCTCTGGCCTACACCCCAGTTCTTGTATGCATAAATAAATAAATCTTTAAAAAAAAAAAAAAGGTACCCATAAGGTTTTATGCCCATTCCATGGATGATGAAACTGAAGTTCATATTAGGAAGCTGCCTAGCCTTAACCTCACAGTTGAGAGTAGGGCCTGCTTCTTGACCTGCTCACTTGCAAAGCTAAGTGGAAATTTGTTCTTCCAGAGTTAAGGGTTGGTTTCTTGGTTCATTCTTGCTTCTTTCTCTTCTTCCTGAAGTATAAGTTTCTTATCCTGACTTCAGTTCTCATGAACTTTTCACCACAGAAAATTCAAACAAAGCTAAAAATGAAGATTCAGTCTTAACTGTAAGTGATCTCTTGTATAACTGCATTAAGAGTTGTTCTCTACTTAGAAAAGTTGGTGTGGTCTGATCGATATGAAAGGAAAGGCAGGTCACCAACATAAGTTCATCTGAGATGAAGGGCCCTGTTCAGTTTAAATATGTAATTTGGGGACTGTATGAAGACAGACTTTGAACATCTCGTTCATAGAAAAAAGCCCAAGAAAATTAATAGTATACTTCGTACGCCCTCCTCACCTCAAATGTGAATTACCATTCATTTGCATTTCATAACATTTCTAAAAACGCAGTCATTATAAACAATTCTTAGTCTCTCATTCAAGAAGTGCCAATCAAGTGAAGTGGCAGCAATGTTGTAATTGAGACTCTGGAATGCATAAAGACCTTCTTTTCACAAAATCTACCCATTCCCTTCTCTAGGTCATCTGGGTACTTTACTCACCTGCTGAAATGCCTTTAAGACCCTTATCTGAAGAGACCATTCAAGGAGCTTTCCTATTTCTTACTAAATTCTCATTTTAATGCAAAAAGCAAAGTGAATGGTACCCCATGTTTTTAATCAGCTCAGAACTCCACATACAGGGCCGTCAACTCAAGATTTGTATGAAATATTTTTACTTACAGTTCCTCTCCTTGTTTGGCTTTCTTGTCTGAAACCAGATAGACAGTTCCAAAACTTCCACTGCCAAGCTTCTGCTGAAGCACATATCTTCTCGCAATCAAGCCCTTTGGATATGTGGAAATGGTTCTTGATCTACTCACACACTTAGCAGTCTCTTGGAATTTCAGCATTGCTCCAGTGAGAGAGAACTGGCTCAGATGTTCAAAGAAACTCAACATTCAAGTCTCCAAGGAGATGGTCAAGTTCATCCAAGGACATCATTCAATACCTTAAAGATAGGAAATCCAGAGTTCAGGTCTGAACTATTCCTAATAAAAACTGTAAAGTCTGGGCAGTGATACCCGAACCCTGATTAGTGAGCCGAATGACACCATATCATGTTATTAGTTTAATGACGTGAGAGAAAACATTGAAAGGTATCAATACTGCAGATTCCAATAGAAGGCAGTCAGTGTTTCACAGGGAGAAAGCCTTCCTTCATACATCCAAATTTGGCAAACCTGAGTTTCACTCAAATTTCCCCCAAGTTCTCAGATGTCCAGATGTTTCTGATCAACAATCTGTTTAAGATTTATATTCTCCCATACTTAAAAAAAGCACATTAAAAAAGCACATATAAAAAAATAAGAACATTATTGTTTCCTTAAATCTATTTGCATCAACCTTTTTGCAATTCTTTATTCTTAGCTAATGTGTATTTTGATTTACAAATAGTGATTGAGCATCAAACCAGAAGTTAGCATAATGTTCATTTCTTTAGTTTTTTCCCTCCTATGGACTATATGATATTTGCATTTATTAGAATAGATGTGATGAGCGATATGGATCAGAATGAGTTTTTTTCCTGCCTTAAGTAGATTCTGACATTTCTATTATTCACGCTGCGTATTGAGTAATCGCCCTGGATTGGAAATAAGAAGTGTCACAAATGAAATTCAAACCTAAAATTGTATTTTAATGTTAGTCGACTAGAAATCTAGGGAAATTATTAATTCCTTCAGGAGCTAAATGTACAGTAGAATCACGGAAGGCAGGACTGTTTCATATGAGCACATGCATGGTAAAATCACTTTTCTTTCCTCAAAATGAAAAATGCTTTTGAGTAATCATAAAATGTGGGCTTTGTTTTAAATCTGTATACACACTTGATTATAAGTTGAAGACTGTCTATGCCTTGGGAGAAGGCATAGACAGTTTATCCCTTATTCCAAGGCACAGACAGTTTCCATAGTCAACAATTCCTAAGTTATAAGACAAAAATCGATTGTGTATAATGTCAAAACAAGGTGTTATCTGTGTAGTTTGGGGCATGTGGCCCATGGGCAGGCTTCACATGGTGGTGGCCAATTACAAAGTTCCTCAGAATAGAAAAAAAAGCAAGTAAATGTCCATTTGCAGTGTTTTCTTTTTTGAAGTAATATATCAATCAGTTAAGTCTCCCTGAGGGTGCAGGGGGAAGGTAGGAAGGCAGGAAGAAAGGGAGAAACCAAATCACCTGAGTGCGCCCTGGGCACAACTCTATTAAAACAACATCAGCATTAAGCTGGAATGACAGCGCTGGTGTCATACCTCAGAATCCCTTAAAACACAAGCAATTATGTGGGATTACTGAGATTACAGAAAATATGAGTGAAATCTGCTGAAAATATAAATGGACAACAGGCCACCAAATGTGGCTTTTGTTTGCTTTGTCTACTGATATAAAAAATGATGTGTCCTGGACAAATAAAGCTGTTGAGAGAAATGTCTAGTCTCACAAGCCTTTTCAACTCAAAGGACCCTTAAAATCACTCAGCGATTCTTCCTCTTTTAGAGAAAAGGCCTCCTGTTCAGCACAAAACAGAATAGTTCTCTGGTCAGTTCAGTTTCCCAGAGGCTCCTAATTTGTTTTTTTTTTTTTTTTTTTTGGATAGCATTAGTTTATTATAAAAGAGACACAGAAATTATTTACATGATGAAAGATTTCAGAACTTGAGTGGAATGGGCTGCTTCACATGATGCCATTTCAATCTTGGTTTCAGTCTACATACTTTCCAAGAATATCACCATCTCTAAATAAGAAATAATCCTTGTCATCTAGAACTACTTTGGTGCCTCCATATTCTGGGAGAAGAACTTTATCTCCAACTTTCACACTAACTGGTTGAATCTCTCCACCCTTTCCTTTAGAGCCTGATCCAACAGCTACTACTGTTGCTTGCAACACTTTTCCTTGAGATTTTTCTGGAAGCATAATGCCTCCTTTGGTTACAGTTTCAGCTGCACTCCTTTCGACTAATACTCGGTCGAAGAGGGGAAGAAACTTTCTAAATGCCTGTCCTGCCATGACTCCGGCCGCCGCAGTCGCCCTGTTCTCCCGCCGCCGCAAAAAAGACAGACCCGCAGCCCGGCCCTCCGGACACGTGAATGTGGGCCGAGGCCGCCCAACGCGCAGGCGCGCGGGCCCGCCGAGGCTCCTAATTTGTAAGAGACAGGAGTAGCTAAGCAGTCGAGTGGGGTGCCACAAAGCAGGGGGGGCGTTGGCGGGGGGAGGGGGGGAAGGGGCTTTGGGACTAGGTTTCCTCTGCATAACCAAACAAACTTAGCCCAGTAGCCCTGCCTGGTTCACCTTCAGACCTTCCCATACCATTAGTCCCTATACAGACACCAAGGAATGTACAGCGCCCTCTTGATTCTAGAACTATTTGTGCACAAGTTTCCTTCGCCGCACCTCTCCCCCCACACTTGTGAGTTGGGAGAACTTGAGTACGGGGGAACAAACTTTATCTTTCTATCCTCCGTGCCTGGCATACAGCAGGTGTTCAGAACACTTTGTTAGGGAAAAAACAAAACAAAACAAAACAAAACAAAAAAACGGGAAGGGAACTTTGGGAACGGCTGGAGACAACTGCCTTGGAAGTGCCACTCACTTGGTTGAGGAGCAAAGGACAAGGAATGGTGAGTGTTTTTCACGGGTTGACACCAAGCAGTTCTCTTCTCCGGTAATAATCAACAAGAGGAAGCACATGCGAGAGCAGCTCCGCCAACGTGGGACTGACTCTAACCTGAAAGGGAAATCTTCACTTCAAGGTAAAAGAGCCACTTTGGTGCCTCAACTTTTAAAAATGTGCATTTTTGCAAAGGGGGGTAACGTACATCGAGAGGCACAGGCCACACGCGGTCTCCGGAGACGGCGCAGGTCTGGGAGCTGGAGTTGGGGGGCGCGAGGAGGTCGCGGGCGGGGCGGCCCAGGGACGCGGGAGCCGGCTGGACAGCCCGGAACACTCCTTCCCCGACGACGGGGAGCCAGGCACCCCTCGCCGAGCGCCTTCTGCATTACCTTTCCGCGTCCGGCCAGGAGCCGGGGCGCCGGGGCCTGCCCTGAGTGCCGCCCGTGATTGCACTGTGCGCGGCCAGGCGCGGGCCCGCCACGGCTGTTTGGCATCATTGCCAGGGAGACGGCGCGGGTCGTGCCGGGAAGTCGGGGCGCGGCGGCCGCGAGCGCGTCACCGAGGCGGAAGCGTGCGCGTCACCGAGGCGGAAGCGTGCGCCACCGGGTGTGCGGGGAAAAGGCTGGCGCCCTGCGGGCCTCACTGCCCTGCCGAGTCTCCACCCCAGCCTTGCGGGCGCCCTCGCGCCTTAAAGCCCGGGAGCACCTTCTCCCTCGCCGTCGGACACCGGGGGCTCAGAGACCCCAGGCCCCCGTGACGTCAGACCTGAGACTTCCGGTTCCCGCTCGGGGGGGGTGGGACTCTCAGGTGCGGGGCTCCCGGGGGCTCCTGGGGAGGGGCCGGGAGGCCGCCGTGGGTGGCGGGGTGTGAGGACCCCGGTGGCGCAAGGCGTGAGGGTGTTTGAAAGTTGAGCTCGAGCCTTTGTGCGCCTTTCACTCTGCAGCGCGCCTTTAGTTGAACTGCTGCGCCCTGCAGTGGCCTGGGCTTAGCTTAGGGTGAGCCCGCACGGGCCCTGCTCGCAAGAGCTTTCCAAGGCGTGAACTTGTAAGTGCTACGCAGGAGAAGGTCGAGAGCCGAGTCTGCGATGAGTGACTCGGACACCAAATGGAAAGGGACGCCCAAGATTCAGTCATCGAGATACATGTTAATGCAGGATCCCTTAAAGTCAGAATTAATGCTGGAAACCCATGTTTGACAAAAATGTCACAATTTTAAATAAAGAGCATCATTAGCAGTGCCAAGCTGAGCCATCCTGGAGCCTGAGTCCAGGAAAAAAAAAAAAAAACAGTAATAACTGGGTTTTTTTTTTTTTGCAGTGAGTTAAGTTAGTCTGTCTTCAAAGATGAAGACAGACCCTGGAGGAAGTGAACTGGAGAAATGAGTTCTGAGAGGCATGAAGCAGAAGTTTCCTTACCCAAAACTATGACAGTAAAGATGCACCCAAATTCCTAAGGTCTGAGAGCAGTTCCCAGACGCTGTCAAAAAAAGAACATTGCCCCGACACACTTTAGTTGACTGAAGCTCAATGCTTTCTGATTTATTAATTAGGAGATTGAGAACATTATTTTTTCCTAGTTTAGGGCTTTTTACTTTGACTCAACGGAATATTCTGCTGTAAGATGGTAACTGCAATATCAAAACCCACATAAATTCCATATTATTGTGTCAATGATTTTAACTGATTTTGCTTTGGACTCACCAGGAATCTCCACTTCCATCCAAAGGTCAAAATCCATGAAACCATTCATTTTTTGCCTTGTAATTCATGGGGAAAAGCAAGAGAATGAAAACGCACTCAGCTCACTGTTGTTGCCTGAGGATCTAGGTAAGAATTCACACATGCTGATACCTAATATATTTTAACCAAAGAGCATTCATAACATATAATGATGATGCAGTGGTGTTGGAAACAATGATTAGGTACCCAGTAACCAACATCAGTTGAACATGTGTTCTGTTGTTTTAAACAGGCAGTTCTTCAGAGCATCATCATGGGTATCCGAGGACTAATGAGCTTTGTGGAAGATCATGGTGATGAGTTCTTCACTGATTTGAAGTTGCGAAACACAAAAATTGTTATCGATGGTTATGCTCTGTTCCACCGGCTTTGCTTCAGTTCGGGCTTGGAGCTCCAGTATGGAGGGGACTATGATTCTTTTGCAGATGTTGTGGAAAAATTCTTTGAATCATTGTTTGCTTGCAATATATGCCCATACATTGTATTAGATGGAGGGTGTGATATTTCAGATAAAAAGCTTACAACTATAAAGGATCGAGCTAGAGAGAAGATCCAAATGGCCCATTCCCTTTCTGTTGGTGGGGGTGGGTATGTATGTCCCTTGCTCATCCGGGAAGTGTTCATACAGGTTTTGAGCAAGCTTCGGGTGTGTTTTGTCCAGTGCTTTTCAGAAGCAGATCGGGACATTATGACACTTGCTAATCACTGGAATTGTCCCGTGTTATCATCCGATAGTGACTTTTGCATTTTTGACCTGAAAACTGGATTTTGCCCTTTTAATACCTTTCATTGGAGAAACAGGAACACTATTAAGGGCACGCAAGACTATTACATCCCAGCCAAGTGCTTTTCCCTGGATGCATTCTGCCGACGCTTCAGCAACATAAGTAGAGACCTACTCCCTCTGTTTGCCGTGCTTTGTGGAAATGACTATGTTAATCTACCCATCATGGAGACTTTCTTCAGCAGAGTACGTCCTCCTCTTGGAGCTACCAGTTCTAAAGGGAGAAGACACCACCGAGTTCTGGGACTTCTGAATTGGTTGTCTCAATTTTCTAATGCTGCTGAGGCACTAGAGAATGTTCTGAAATATCTTCCCTCCAAAAACAGAGAAAATGTTAAGGAACTTCTCTGCAGTTCCATGGAAGAATACCAGCAGTCCCAGGTGAAGCTGCAGGACTTCTTCCAGAGTGGTACTTATGCCTGTCCGGGGGCCTTGGATCTGGGTTTACCAGAATGGGTGCTAGCAGCTTTGGCCAAAGGCCAGCTGTCACCTTTCATCAGTGATGCTCTGGTGCTAAGACGGACCTTCCTTCACACCCAGGTGGAACACATGCAGCGCCCAAGTGCCCACAGAATCTCGCAGCCCATCCGGCAGGTCATCTACGGGCTGCTTTTGAGTGCCTGTCCCTGTCAGGAGGCATTGCCACCTCAGCCTCTAGTTTTTAGCGAAGTGGAGAGGATTAATAAAAATATCAAAACATCGGTTGTTGCTGTAGAATTTCCCAAGGATCATTTTGACGTAAGCAACTTGACAGAGGTGAGTGTAACAGTGACATCTTTGTACCATGACATCTTTGTACCGTGCTGGACAGGTTACCGCATACCTGTGTGTTTTTGTCTGAGTGTGCTTAATCTGAGTGTGCTTGCTGTGTTGCCCCCATTTCACAGCCAGAAAAACGAGGACTCCAAAGTAAATAACAGATACCTCAGCCAGTGTCAGTGCTGGGACTCACACCCAAATCTTTGAGCTCCAATTCTGCTATTTTCATGTGCTTCATGTCCTCTTTGCATTAGTACTACTATTCTGTTGATACTAGGTAGCAATACAATGGGTTATGTGGCTAAAAGAAAAAGGAAAAAATCTGAGTTGATGGACATTTGGGGAGTTTGTAGTCTGGGGTGTTTCAAACAGTGCAATGAACATGTGGTGCACCTCCTTTAAATGAAAATATGACACATTCCTGTTGCATCTGTAAGCAGGAGTGGAGAAGACCTGGGTCAGGCATAAACTATCCACAACCAGATGCTGTTGCCAAGTGGCCATGCCAATTAATACTCCCCCAGCGGCTTGTAAGAGCCAATACTTTATACCCTTGCTGATACCTCTTACTTCCTTGTGCAGTGTCACATTAGCTAATCTGGTGGGTGTTAGCTTTCATTTCCCAGAGGACTTGACTACCTTTTTGTAGGCCATTTAGATATTGTTATATTTCTGTTCGAAGTCTCCTGTCCACTTTTCTTGTGTTTGTTTCTAACTGTGAGCAGCCGCTCCCATTCACTGGTGTCATATTTTGATGAGTAGTTGCTTATATTATCTAATTTAAATTTTTATTTATTTATGGGTATCACTTTTGTGACCTAGTTAAGAAATTATTGTTACTCCAATGTCATGAAAATGATTCTTTCCCTTTCACTTGTGGAGCTATCTAGAACTGACTTTTTTTATATGTGTGTGATATGAAATAGATCAGGATACTTACCCCACTCCCCTGAAAATTCAGTTGAGTTCATGAGCGGAGCATGCTGATTATACTCCTTACCGGGTAGAGATGACATCACTTACCTGTGTTGAAAGTAGGGTGCAATTTTAGTTCTCTGTATTGTGCTATCATTTGGCTTTCCCTTGCCATAAAGCATCAATTTGTATCCAACTCAGTCTTCTTAGCTCTGATTAGCCCATGATGACTCTAACAGTATCATGAGCAAATGTGATTCCAAACACAAATGCAGGAACAAGTTTAGAAAATGTAACAGTATCTGTTCATTGTTGTTAACATAATGTGGTTAATACCTTACCTGCCTTATGTCAGCTGTTGTAATCAATTTTTACAATTTCCAGTTTAATTCCCATGGTAACCACATGGGGTAGGGGCTCCATTTTGGTTATGTCAGTGGACAGAACGCCATTCAAGTTAAGCCACAAGAAGTTAAGGGTAAGGAGACATGGCAGTGGATGGTTCTTGGGGAGTAAGTGCAAAGACCAGCCTCTCTCAAAGCCCCTGCCTCTCTGTGGCAGCTTCTTCCCCAGGCATGTGCTTGCCTTCCTGTGGGGTGGGTTAGGGTGGGGTGTCACGTGGGCTAAAATCTCATCACAGTAGTTACTCTTTTCTGAACAAAGGACAGATGGGTCTCATGAAATGTCTTGGGCAACTCATTATATAATGTCCACTGTACAGACTGCTCAGACTGTGGAAAGCTCAAAACTTGCCCAAGGCTGTAGAGCTAGTGAGGGAACAACAGTAAAAGCCCAGACTACTTTGTTCCGAAAAGTCATAACTTGGCTGGAGAATTCAATAATCTAAGCATTACAGGCATTTTCTTTAGCCTTAGGCGTTGCTCTTTTTTTTTAAACCAGTCTAGGAGGTTAGAGATAGTTCTTACTTTTAATATAAGTAGTTAATGTGAGTTTCTGTACAATTATATGGCTAAGCACTCTGCATGTTTCTCATTTTAAAGATTTGCTCACTGTATCAAATCATTAAGACCATGGTTTATAACCATTGTATTTAATGCTCTCATGCAATAATGCATTAACCTGAGAAGGAACCTGAGACAGGACCCTGTATGATACGCTGCCAGGGTGCTTATCCTCCAGGTCTGCCTTCCGGAGCTGGTCAGTAGTGGAGAAGTTAAGGCCTAATTACTCACTGGCAAATAAGGGTTGGCTTGAGCACAGAGCTTTGGCTCTCAAAGCAGAAGAGTTCAAAATGCAGATTCTTGAGCTTCCCTTGGATTTGCTGAATCAAACTTAGGAGTTTGGGGGCCTGATTTTGAATGTTTAACCAGCTTCCCAAGTGACAGACACTCTGAAGACAGCCATTCACCAGCCTCCACACTGGGTGTGCGGACAGCAAGGGCTGTGAGGTGGGGGCTGGCAGCACAGCCAGTCATCCAGGTTTATTAACAAGCACCTCATTAATGTTCTAAATGCTTTAAGTGTGGCTGATTATCTTGCACAGAAAGAAACCGACAGGACAGTTTCAAGTATGAAAATGTCTTCCTACTTGAAAACCAAAGTAACTTGCAGGATCTATTTCAGCTGTCCTTGGCCAGTCGGCAAATGCTTCTAACAGAAACTCTGAAGGTGAAACGAACTGTCCTGGACCCGATCCCTGCTTTGTTGAAATTGCCCATTGCTGTCAGCTGCTACTGGTTACAGCACTCGGAGGCCAAGGCCAAGATGCATCATCTCCAAGCCCTGCTGCTGGGCATGCTGCTGGGGCCCCTGCAGGCCATGATCAACAGCCCTGGTGTGTACCTCCAAATTCCGGGAGTAAATTTTTGCATGTTACTTGCATATTATTAAGTTTAAATAAAACATCCTTTGGCTTACTTACTCCCATCAGTTATATCAAAATTTACAGATGGAGGCACCAAAAATATCACTCATTGGTAAATATTTTGGAGCACAGCTGTGCCAGGCTCAATGCTGGAGGGCTTGACAGTGGAGGCCAACACCACCCGATCCCACCTGTGCTGTCCCCAGCACTCTCGTCTGTGAGGGTGAGAGACAGTGTAACACGCCAGCTGCATTTGGCAGAATGTTCCCGATCCCTGTCTTCAATACAGAGCAACATCATCACTAGGCACTTAAAACTGCCAATTGATCACTTCCAAACACCAGAAGAAACATCTACACTTGTGCTTTCTCTTTTAATTTTCCTTTCACCACTGTTTGAAGTTTCACTTACTTAAGTAGTGATGGTAAAAACTATAACCTCTCTCCATTACAGAAATTTACACTTTGAGGCAATTTCATCTGCATTTAAATAGCAGGTGAGATAAATGTTGATGTACTGGAGCATTTCAATTCTCTAATGAAATTATTCTCTTTAAAAGAGTAAGAATGCTCTGTTGCTATCTAAACACGTGTAATAGTTTTCAAACTGTGGACAGTACTAAGAAGATAGCTGCTAGGCATATGTAGCTCTAAAAGTAAATGAAAAATCTGGCGTCTCGGCTACACTGGTCACCTTTCAAGTGCTCAGCAGCCACTTGTGCTAGAAATGATTCTGTCAGAGCAGATACAGAACCTCGCTGTCACTACAGAAAGCTCTACTGGCTGTTGTTACTCTAGGGTTTAAGTTAAATGGACGAATGAACCAGCATCGGCTCTAAGACACCGTGTGTGGCAGCAGCTATCAGAAGGACTGCTGTTCTCTGACAGTCACCTAATGCGAATGAGACCCACTGCTGGTTGAAGACATGTTTGGGGCATTTCTTCTCGCTGAATACTAAATACAGGTGAAGAAAATTCTCAGAGCACGAGCCTATTAAGTTCTAACCTGCATCCAAAAGAAGGGGCATGTCAGGTCTGTTTCTGATCTTTTAGTTGAGGACCCTGCACCCAGGCTCAGTGTGCCTTGCTGCTCACTCACTGGTCAAAAGTGGGGCCTCCTTTTTACTTACAAGTTAGCCTGGATGTAATTTTGCACTTCCCTTGCTCAAGCAAACCTGCGAAGCCGAGAGCTGAACATGCAGCATTCTTCATTTCCAAATTCTGAGTCAAACTTTTGTTTTCCTCCCAGAAGACAGACGTTAAATTCAAATGTACTTTGAACACACAGGCTCTTTCTTTACACAGGCACACTAGGTAGATAGCACAGGGTCTTCATGAAAGGAAGTCAAGTGAAGGAGAAGTAAAGAGAGGAGTAATAGTAATTTTCATAGAGGCAGGTTTAGAGAATTTAGAGTTTAGAGAATTCAGATGCCTTTTTTGTTTTGTTTTAAAGGCCTAGGTACGAGGCCAGTGGAAAAGGTATTTTAAGGAAAAATACAATGTCGAATAACATTAGTCAATAAAAAAGGCCTCTCAGTATTTCAATTCACGGAGCAAGACTGCAACACTGAAGTTAAAATAGTAAAGACAGAAGCATTTTGGTTAGTGAAACTAAATTTTCTTCTTTGTGGAGAACATGGTGAGCTTATCCAACATATCTGGAAACACTGCCCTTGTGCTGTTTGTTTTTCTAGATAAGGAAGAGCTGCAGGAAGGTGGTGCTAAAAAGTTGTATGAAGAGCTCCAAAGAGTGAAGCAGCAGACGCGGCCGGGCACCAGACTAGACCTAGACACAGCTCACATCTTCTGTCAGTGGCAGAGCTGTCTGCAGATGGGGCTCTATCTCAACCAGCTGCTCTGTTGTCCCTTCCCAGAGCCAGACCTAACTCGGTAAGCACCACGGGAAACTACTTCAGATGGTTGCACAAGGAAATAAATACTTTATTCATTTAAAGTAAAGAAGTTATCTTAAAAGTTAATCTTAGTATAACTGGTCTTAGGTCACTGTTACACCTGGAGAGCTGGAAACAGGAAGATGTTTCCGTACTCCCAAAACAAATTCCCATGATCAGATCCTATTTTTAAAAATAGGTTCCTTAACTATTACTCAGTTATTAAAAAAAAAATCAGGCCTCCCTGGTGGCCCAAGGGGTTAAGACACAACCTATGAAGCTATCTGCAGCCTCTGCAGCATGAGTTCATCCCCCGGCCAGCCAGGGAGCTACCCACATGGTGCAACAGACCTCTCCTGACTAGCTCCCCTCAGCAGTGTATTTCAGTCAGTCTGCCTGTTTTGTTCCCCACTCTTGTCTCTGGTGAGACCTCTCACCATCCACACCTCTGGCCTGTATGCCAGCTCTTGTATGCATAAATAAATAAATCTTTAAAAAAACAAAACACGTCATTTTCAATACCGTAGAAAGACCAGGAGGGTCGTACACTCAGTCAGTCATTTTCTCAGTCAGGTTCATTTTCTAACCATTTTCTAACCATGTGGTCTATAGAACTAATGAAGTAAAACAAAAATAGAACTTTAGGCTATAAGGTCAAATTTGTAGTTACCAGAAAGGAGGGGGGTCAGAATCAGGCAACAGGGTCAAATTGGACCTTTGGGGTGAACTTGATGTAGTATGTGCAGATGCTGAAACTCATATAATACAATGTTACTTCAACAGAAAGTTATTTACAAATAAAAAGGAAAAAAAATTGAATTAGTTGCTTTACCCAACATCAAATATATATAATTTAATTTGAATAACAATACTAATATTCAGCCGACTGAAAACAGTTAAATCTAGGTAATATCAGTCCTTAAAGTAAAGAAGAGGCAGTGGACTGGTAGGATGTAACTCATCTCCCTTCAGGATGTAACTGAAGTTCTATCTGACCCTCCTTCCGAAGTATCACACTAGCGCTACTCGCTTTCAGCTGACTCCTCATATATTTTTTTCAAATTGCATTTCTTATCACTTGGCATATTGTTCACACAAATATTTATTAAATGCCTACTTTGTGCTAGGTTGTACTGAATGAAACATTTTTTAAATATTTGCCACCATGGAGCTTTTCTACTAATGAGATCACAATTAGACGCTTAAGTGGACACTATCTAGGGGTTTTTGTTTAAGCAGGCAAGTATGAGGGAGGGCGGGAGGCAGCCAATATGCCAGGGCATGATTTAATGTTTAACTGTGGGTTTAGGCTGCTTGAGAAATGAGAAATAATAGCACGTAGGATATAGGCGGGGGGAAAAGTCACAGATCAGTGAATTGAACATTCTGACGATTGTCCATTGAGGAGGTACCAGAGGGAGTGAATGAGGAAATTAAAAGGAGATGGTTAGAAAATGAACCTGAGATTGTGTATGTGCTTCGTGTCTCCTCTATGAGGGCAGGGGCCTGTTCACTGCTGTAGCCGCACTGCCTGGCATACAGAGAGTACAGATCCCCTAAAACAGGAAAAACAAGACCAGACAGTTCTCCGATGATTCACCAGGGTTGTACTTACATCTCAGCATTACCAATGAGTGATGGTTCCATTTCATCACGTATCGCTCTGCCAGTAAGTTATATACATAACTTAGTTAACTCCACCTAATTATTTGTGAAGTATGTTTTTAGTCCAAGAGAATGAATGGCTGCAAATGACGCCATTAAATTTTCTCTGATTTCAACAAACTGCCTGTTTGGCTTATCAAACTCATTTGTAGTTCCTTTTCTTTAAAGAGTTAAGGGGCCTGCTCAACTCTGGGTTAGTTTAAGAACCAGCAAGCATCATTTAATTTGTCGGTAAAAAGATTTTAAATACTGGGGCCTCCCTGGTGGCGCAAGGGGTTAAGACACAGCACTGTGAAGCTAACCGCAGCCAGTGCAGCACAAGTTCAATCCCTGGCCAGGGAGGTGACCCATATGGTACAGCAGACTTCTGACTCGCCCGCTGCTCCCTCAGCAGTGTATTTCAGTCAGTCTGTCTGTTCTGCTCCCCATTCTGTCTCTGGTGAATCCTCCCACCCCCCACACCTCTGGCCTGTACCCCAGTTCTTGTATGCATAAATAAATCTTAAAAAAAATTTTAAATATCGCCATCAAAAGAAGTAATCTTGTAATAACAACTCAGTTTCTTCCTTCATAGAACTGATTATTCTTAAGTAATTTTAACAGTAATTTTATGGAAGCAAGAACCACCCTCATTGTTTATGAAGTCAGGTTAATGACTGAACCCAATCTTTACCACCACCTTTTCCCTCCCATCGAACAGATTGTACAGTGGAAGCTTGGTGCACAGCCTGTGCCGACAGCTGCTGGCGTCAGCCTCTGTAGAAAGTCTCCTGAGCATGTGTTCTGAGGCTCAGCACCTATATCAACAGCTGTTCAATGCCACAAAGTCACATGCCCCTGCTGAATTATTCCTTCCAAAGGGCAAATCCAGTTCAAAGAAAAAAAAGCCAAAGAAACAAGGTACCAGCCAGTCAAAGAACAGAGTGGGAACTACCTCAGACACTAGGAGTTGGCAAGAAGAGAGTAATCGATTTGGGATATTAATGGTTGATAACCCAGAAGATCATACTGACATTACAAAGCTTGAATAAACTCAGCCTACAACCAGATGTGTAATTCTTACTTAAAATTTTGTTACTACCCTTGAATTTAACTTTTTCCTTTAGATCTAACCTGTCAGGGGCTAAACATTGCAATAATCTTTGAATTCCAGGGTATTCTGTATTCTGCTTTTAATAAATACAACCTTAAGAGACTTCCTTGTTTCTTAAACACATTTTAAGCATGTGTGTATTTCTTGTGTTCCATTTCACATTTGACAGTCTCTAAGTGTAGGTGCTTACAATCATTACTGTCTGCAGCTGCACCCACTCATTCAGCAGTCAAAAGACTTAGAAAGGCACAGTGTGGAACATACTAGAGCTGTACTAGAGCTGCAAAACTTAGAAGCATAACAGAATCGTGAAGGTGATGGCCAGTTCCAAATAAAGAACTTAAAAATAAAAAAGCAAGTGGAATGAATACACTTGAGCAAGATCTGAAAGTATATTCTGACCTTCATTTTACTTGTAATTACAGAAATTGTCACAAAAGAACATTTTATAAAGCAGCCTGTCAGGTGCAAAAAGGCAGAATGCAGATTGAATGCTCCAACAGTGAAGAGAAGGTGGGGACCAGGCTGAGGAGAGGATACGTCAAAGGAGTCTCTGGCCTGGCCTTTGAGCTTGACTTTGACACAGGGACATAATTCAAATGAGGTGCTGAAGACAATGATGTCCCACGTCCCACATTCCATTTGCAAAATCTGTTTTCCTCTATTTTTAATTGTCTCTAGGTCTTGATTTATTGGATTCAGTTCTAGCTAGTGAATTCTGACCTGAGATTTTGGAAATGTAAATCTTTAGTTAGCACTTTAAGTAACAAAAGGACAGCTGGGCAGCAAAGATGAACAAACTTCAGGAATAAAGCTGAAGACAGAAAAACACTCTAATATAATCCTGTTTTGTATTTAGTTGTCATAAAATTATACATGAACTTTACTTATATGAACCCTTCTTGATGTACATGGACCTGGAAAGTTTAATAGCTGTATATTATAAACTCAAGTCCTTTCATGTGCTTTGATCATGAGAAAAATAATTCAAAGTAATTTTGGCATTTGAAGTTGGATCTCTAATTCAAATGAACAAACTTAGAAGATAAAGACCTTTACACCTAGAAAGGTCTTAGAATTATCTTTTCTTCCTCTGTGCATAAAAGAATCAATGACTGGGCCTCCCCGGTGGCGCAGCGGTTGAGTGCTGGGTTGCGAAGCTGCCCGCGGCCTCTGCGGCGCCGGTTCGATCCCCGGCTGCTCCCCGGCCACCAGAGGAGGGTCCCACATGGCGCGCAGACCCCTCCTGCCGCCCGCTGCTCCCCTCAGCAGTGTACTTCGGGTCCTTCTGCCTGCTCTGCTCCCCGCTCTGGCTCTGGTGAATTCTCTCACCCTCCCGTGCTTCTGACTGTACCCAGTGCATGTATAAACAAAAAACAAACAAACAAACAAATAAATAAATAAAACATGCCTCTATTAAAAAAAAAAAAAAAAAAAGAATCAATGACTTACACTTAGTTATCCTAACTATAAAGTGAGGCTCCAAATAATTCAAATAATTGAATAAGAATAAAATAATGTACTGTTATGCTACTTAACACAGTGCCCAACATTAACATGCAACAAATGAGTGCCCTCATTACATCCACACGTGAAAACCAAGGGCAAAGGAAGATGTCTGGGAAGAAGGGAGCATGCTGAGCAGGAAGAACAGGCTCCACTGAAACCAGCAATGGTGCCCAAACTCACAAGAAGAATTCTGCAGAAGCAAAGGGTGTCAACACCATCATATATGGCTAAGATGATAAGAAGGGCAAGATTGTGAGAACAAAGCAACTTCAGAGGTGTCAGGCTGTCACACTGGAAAGAGAAAGTGTAAAGAGAATGAGAACAGGTAGCTAAGCTCAACCCCAGAGAAAGCAAAAAAGACCAGGAGAACTAGCCTATATGAGTCCCTGTGTCCCTTCTGCTCTTTTTTTCTTACCATCAAGGAATTTTCTGTAGTGTTTTAAAACCCAGCTTAAGTAAGCATATTGAAAGAGCAAATGAATAAACAATTTCCAAAAACCACCCAAAAAAAGAGCTCTGAATACATTTAAAGATGGGAAAAATGAGAGGCAGATATTACCACTTCCTGCAAATTTCCTCTTGCAATTATCAGGATTATAACCTGGCTCTACCCAATAACCCTAAGGAGACCAAACCTAGCATCTCCCTTAATGAGGTTTCCAGGGCTTCGTAGCTGCTACACCTGCTGGCACACCAGGAGCCCCGTGTCTTCTGGTCACTTCCAAGACTAGGAGAAAGAAATTCACTTCCTTGCTGGAACAAACTCTTACTGGTACCTAAAACCAGGATGAAGCAGTGATGAAACACTTTGAAAATGAATGCTAGCTGCGTAACAAAAAATCTTTATTTGCAAACCAGTAGCAGATGGAACTGGAACATAGGTTATCGTGTATCCACCTGCATGCTGACTTCCCAGCTCCACATGGATGAGGGAGGCAAGTACAGTCGCCCCCCAGCGTCTGTGGGGTTTGGCTCCAGGACACCCAGCAGTTACCAAAGTCCACAAATACCCCAAGTCACTCATATGAAATGGCATCGTATGCCTTAAATCCTCACTAGTTTACTTATAAAATCTAATACTGTATCAATAGCTGTTATAAAGTGTTGTTTGTGGGGAAATGACAAGGCGTTTGTACATGTTGAGTCCAGGTGCAACCACCATAGGTCTAACTATATGTATGAAGTAGCTAATTCGTGGACCATCCAGACCTGATCCATACAGACAGATACTTATAAATTCTAATGCAATCCTATTATGCAACCATATGAGTGAATATGAGAAAGGAATTGAAAATACATTCATCTCTCCCTGAAATTGATCGAATAATGCTTAAATGCAAAATTCACCAGTCTGTCCCATCAAGCACACATATTCTATCATTTCTGTAGTTTCCCGTTGGGTGAGGCCTGCTATCTAATGCTCCAAGGATATTCTGTAAGATTCACAAACCAAGCATTTTCAGATTATGCTTTAAAGGTGCAGATTTGATTGAAAACAGAAAAGGGTCAGAGCATTACAGTACTGCCTGTGACCACAAGATGGCACCAAATTGTCACGTCTCAAGTAACAGGTGCTTCGCTGTCCTTCAAAGGCCTTACTAGAAAATTGCTTTTAATACAGTTGAATGGCTGAGTTTTTAAAAAACTATTTAAAAAGTACATTTTGCCTGAGTTCAAAAGTTGGAAATCCACAAACACCTCTAGACTCATTTACAACAACTTGTGCAATTTCAGGCGTACTTCCCTGAGACAAAGATGCTAATCAGAGGATTACTAAGCAGAACAGCGCCATTTTCCTGAAGAAATTATGGTGACGGGGCAACCTTGATTTAGATATGAAAAAACGATAGCCATGAATCTATTACAGAAATGCGAGCTTTTGCCAAGGTATTTGTCAATTTGGCTAGACTGGGGCCAAAAGTGATAGTAATGCCAAAGTCAGGTGTGTACAGTGATCTGCTCAGGAAACACGTCTGCCTGGAGCAACTGTACACACACAGGCAATGACTACATTCCACCTGTGTACGTAGGTTTACACTTGATCTTAGCCAAAAGGCCAAGAATCGATAAATTGGCATAATTTTTTTTAAAGATTTATTTATACAAGAACTGGGGTACAGGCCAGATGCCCAGGAGGGCAAGAAGATTCACCATAGTGGTGAACAGAACAGGCAGATTGATGAAATACACTGCTGAGGGGAGCAGCAGGCCAGACAGGAGAGGTCTGCTGCGCCATGTGGGACCCTCGCTGGCCAGCCGGGATCGAACCGGCGCTGCAGAGGCCGCAGACAGCTTCACAGGCTCCGCCTGAGCCACCAGGGAGGCCCATGGAATCAAGAAATTGGCAGATTTAGATTAGAAAATATAATGGCGGAAGGGGTTAAGTCTCAGCACTATGAAGCCATCAGCAGTCACTGCAGCATGAGTCCAATCCCCTCCCCGACGAGTAGCTAACCTATATGGCACAACAGACCTCTCCTCTCTCGCCCACTGCTCCCCTCAGCAGCGTATTTCAGTAGATCCATCTGTTCTGTTCCCCACTCTGTCTCTGGTGAATCCTCTCACCACCCTCACCTCTGGCCTGCACCCCAGCTCTTGTATGCATAAATGAATCTTTTAAAAAAACAGAAAACAATTTATAAGAATCAAAGCTAATAGCTCAAGTATTTTTCACTTTCCTACCCAAATTTCAACACTTAATTTTGAATGAAAAAAGATTACACAAAATTGCTATCCAGGTTTATCAAAGAAATGCTTACATTGAACTTTTTCATGTTTCCTAAAAAATAGAACCCAAGAATTTCATGCCAAACTTATGGTTGCATTCTGAAAATGAAAACCAAAACCCCAAATAAGGTTGTTCAATGATAACTCAATAGTTGTACCAAGTACTGACTGAGTTCAAGTCAGTTTAATTATCTGGATTATGTTTTCCAGGCACATAACAGTAAGGATTAATATTTATGCATACTGTATTTTAGTATTCAAATAAGCTACTATTTGAATTGCAGCACAGTCTAAAAAAGGTACTTCAAAGAATTCCAAATGACAATGTCAAGGGAATCTTCCAGTACAACGTATGCTAGATTGATTTTAATGTATGTATACTTTAAAATAATGAGCAAAGACCACTCATATCCCCTACTAGTCCAGTCCATGAATTCTTAATGGGAAGTGTTATCATTATCTTTCTAGTTCTAGCACCTTCCAGTTACTAAATAACTGAAAGACATCTAAGTTTTGGGGGAAGGTGTATGTAGAAGTAAAAAGCTCAACAACTGTCAAATGGTAGAGGCAGAAAAGTTTAGTAAAGTTAAGGTTCTTAGATGTGGCATTCACTTTTTTTAAAAAAGGATTTATTTATTTATGCATACAAGAGCTGGGGTCCAGGACAGAGAGGTGTGGGGTGAGAAGATTCACCAGAGACAGTGGGGAGCAGAACAGGCAGATGTACTGAAATACACTGCTGAGGGGAGCAGAGGGCAATACAGGAGAGGTCTGCTGTGCCATGTGGGTTACCTCTCTGGTGGGGGATCGAACTTGTGCTGCAGTGGCTATGGATAGCTTCATAGTGCTGTGTCTTAACCCCTTGTGCCACCAGAAAGGCCCTATGGTATTTACTTCTTACCACCAATTCATTCCAGTGAGAAACTATTTTAACTATAGCCAATACTCATTTTACTTACATCCTATATGAAAGAGATCAAAATAAAGTGATTTCAGAATGACTACCAAGGTAAATTCACTGTGCCTTGCACATGCAGAAAAGATTTAAAAACTTCTGTTAACTAAACTTGAGGAAGGATGTTGTTTAGGTTTCCCATTTCCATTGTTTCATGCAATGCCCAATACAAATGTGAGAGAAGACACTAAGCTATATTGAGACTTGTCTAGTCTACCTAGCTAGTGAATTGATTTTAAGTCCCCTTCTTATTTGAGGCCAAATAACATGAGGCAGTTTAACTGGAAAAAAAAAATCAACTAAAATTATAAAATTGCCTCTAGCAAGCTCTAGGATTAGGAAGTGAAGTAAATGTTTAAAATTCCAATGGTAGCACATTTAAATTAATTTCCATGCTAATTTGGATAATATACTAAGGAAGATAGATACAAATATTCTAGTTTGTTAATATGCTATGAAAAACAGAAACCTGGATGTAGCTGTATTATATATTTGTTCTATATTTAACTTATTTTTAAACCAAACATTCTGTGTACCCTGAGTACTGTCTCATTTAATACATGTGGATAATTTTAATGTTAACAGTCCTAACTGGATGGTCAGTAACATATTAAAATAATTTTTTTTTTTTTTTTTGGTTCAGATACTGAAGGAAAGGACAGGCACATTTATTTCATAGGAATCATACTCTGAAACTAAAATGCAAACCAGAAGACTGACATGCATTTAAACGCATTTCAAGTATCTGTAACAGAGAAGAAAAATGACAAAATATAGGAATGAGACAGGCACTAAAATGACTTTGTATCATGTTCCATCTGATGACATGGAACAAAGTCCATCTGACTAGTCAGCCTCACAGAGTCAAGTCGAATACTCTACAGACATGTCAGCTCCTCATACTTGACTGTTTCAGTAACAAGGGCTCAACAAATATTTTCCCTGTTATAAAAAACAACATTTTAGTCCTTGTACTGGTAGGTTAATATTGATAAAAACTGGAGAGTAGTTTATCCTGAGTTTTTTAAAAATGGCAAATTATAAAATACAAACCCCATTCACTTCAACAAAATTTAAACCTGTTTAAAAAAAATTGAGACCTGTTTCTATTTCAACAGGAAAATGGATTTCTAACTTTGAATTTCTAGTCCAAATCTGTCATATATTCAAAAGAGATTACCTACACCTCCTCATATTATTATAAAAATGATGGCATTACACAGAACAAGTCCATTTATTTCTCTAGCAGTGTAACAGAAAGAAGGCAGAGAACACGTGGTGCAGGTAAGAGAGGAGGGACTCGGGGCTGTGCTGCCATCCGAAGCAGCCCCAGACACACGACGAGCAAGGCCAGCACAGACTCTTCCATATACACCTGGTTCATAAACCATCTGCTTGCTGGGAATTTTATTCTTTAAGTATATTACCCTAAGAATGATGTTTAGAAACACACATTAAAAAAAAAAAAAAAGAGAGAGAGAGAGACATTTCAAGAAATAAAATTCAGTTATTCAGGTGATGTACTCGGATTTGTATTTAGGATAGGATAGTATTTAACAAGATATGCATTTATATTTGACTCAAAAAAGGGATAGTAAAACATGTTAAAACAGTGTTATAAATTTCAGTGCAATCATTCTTAAATATTTTTCTCTCTATGGCCGCATCAATTACAGACACTGCTATCCTAACTAGAATGCCACTTGACAACCCTGTATTAATTTTGCTAGACCAAGACTCATACCTTAAAAGGAAAAAAAAAAAAGGCAAACATTTATACTTACTAAGAAAAGCAAACATTTACTTCAAATTGCAGTAGAGGCCTTTTCAATCACAAAAAGAAAGAAAAGAACAGTGATCTGACAGTGGTCACATCCTGTGCAAAAAAACCTTGAGACACAAAAATGGTAACACAAAGTTATCTGAACTGCTTACATTGTAGGAAAAGGAAATACAGTAGCTGAAATATGGCACTCCTGGGAATCAACTTCTAAACCAAATAATAGAATGCCTCTGTAATGACTGGATTTATTTGTTTATCTGTAAGAAAGCCCCACCACCATAAATAGTACAATATTTAAAAATTAAAAAAAAATATTTATATCTAAGAAGATAGTATATTTGTACTGTTAGACCTCTTTAAGTGCAGAAGGTGGTTCAGGTTTTGCCTTTTTTTGTAATTAAATAACTGCCCTATAACTTTAAAAAGTTCCACTCCATCGCAAAAGCCAACTTAAATCAAGGAATATGTTATCAAAGTTGCATAATTTTGTTTGGGACTGCCAGCAGGTTAAAGTCTCAAAATCAAGTCTTTAACATTAACACTCATTTTTAGTCAATGAAAAGCATAGGAGTTCTCAAATCTTCATTATCCTCGTGAATTTGCCCTTCTAAATGATCCTCAGACTGCAATTCCTAGTTTGCAAATAAAAGAATGCAATATGCATCATACTTCAAGAAAAGACGACGATGTCGAACTAACATGCTTCTGGATCTTTTCCCTGCTCCTTTCTACCTTCTTTATAATTTCTGACACCACGCACACCGAAGAAGTGAGACCCAAAAGAAACAGCAGATCTGCAAGAGAATTTAAGTTCATTTTACAATTCTTTGAAACTTACAGTTGCAAAGTTTAACAGCTTACATCTTTCTAACTTTTTACTACAGCTTTTAAGTACACTGTTTCACAACCACCCCATTAGACACAATCTGACTCAGTTTAAAAATCAAAGTATGGCTCCCGCGTACTAAATCATCTAACCCGAGCCACCCGGTGAGGGGAGGAAGGAAGCAGACAACAGCACCCAAGTCCTCTGACTATAATAGCAACACAAGCAAAAGGTGTTTTCTATTTCATAGATCCCATAGCCTTTTTATTTATTTATTTATTTATTTATTATAATCTATACATCTTTTTTAAGAACTGGGGTACAGGCCAGAGTTGTGGGAGGGTGAGAAGATTTACCAGACAGAGTGGGGAGCAGAACTGGCAGATGTACCAAAATACACTGTTGAGGGGAGCAGTGGGCGAGACAGGAGAGGTCTGCTGTGCCATGTGGGTTGCTCCCCAGCCGGCCGGGGATTGAACTCCCACCGCAAAGGCCATGGACAGCTTCACAGCGCTGTGTTCAACCCCCTGCGCCACCAGGGAGGCCCTCGCATAGCCTTTTTAAAAGGTTAATCAAGAGTGGTAAGTAATTTCATTAAAAATGCCTATCTAGGGGCCTCCCCGGGGTTAAGTCGTAGCATTATGAAGCTATCCGCAGCCACTGCAGCATGAGTTTGATCCCCGGCCAGGGAGGTGACCCACATGGCACAGCAGACCTCCCTTGTCTCGCCCACTGCTCCCCTCAGCACTGTATTTCAGTAGATCTGCCTGTTCTGTTACCTACTCTGTCTCTGGTGAATCCTTTCACCCCCAACCCCCTGCCCCTCTAGTCTATACCCCAGTTCTTGTATGCATAAATAAATAAATCTTTAAAAGAAAATGCCTATCTGAAGATTACTTGGAAATCAGTCTTTTAAAAAAGTTATTCAAGAGCGGTAAATAACTTATGAAAATGCCTATCTGAAGATTACCTGGAAGTCTGTATCTAGTCTATTTGAAAGCCTAGAAGAACGCCATCTTTTCCCGTCTTTGCAACAATATCCACACAACCCCATTCATATTTACTGCCTGAAAAATTACAGCTGTGACTTTAAAACTCCATTTTTTAAAAAATAGTCAGGAATGTTAATATGAAATTAGAATACTGTAATTAAACTAGCTCAACTTTAAGGTAAACGTTAAAATGAAAAAAAGTCAGTGAGGTTGTATAACTCAATTTTGTAACTATTGAAATTAAATTAAAACCCAAGAATTAAAGGTAACATTAGCATAAAAATGTGTCATTCTCACACTTACATAGAAAGGTTAATTTTTAAATGAACTATATGAGAATACACTAAACACAGTATATGAAAGAATAAGGTTTATCTTCTACATTATCTTAATAGAGTTTTCTGCCTTTATGATCAGATTATTATTTCATATAATTAGAATAAGCTGATTAGTAAGAATTTAAACTATTGGTTTAGCAAAATTGTAGTTTTAAAGAGGAACAATTTGGTTTTTAATGACTTTAAATCTAATTTTTTTTCTTTTGTTTTTTAAGATTTATTTATTTATTTATACAAGCACTGGGTACAGTCAGAAGCGCTGAAGGGTGAGAGAATTCACCAGAGCCAGAGGGAAGAGCAGAACAGGCAGACTGAAGTACACCGCTGAGGGGAGCAGCGGGCGGCAGGAGAGGTCTGCGCGCCATGTGGGACCCTCGCCGGTGGCCGGGGATCGAACCAGCACTGCAGAGGCTGCGGACAGCTTCGCAGTCCAGCGCTCAACCACTGCGCCACCAGGGAGGCCCCAATTTTCTTTTCTTATGAGACTGGAAAGTTATAAATCACAATTACTCAACACGTTTGATTAGCTCTACTTCAGTCACCAAATGGGACTTTGATAACTGATAATCTATAACAAATTTACAAGAAAAAAAATCTAGAGTAAGGAAAGTGATTTCCCTAAACCTGTCCAAATAAAAAAAGAGTGCCACACTCCTTTTCCAAGCCAAGCTAGCCTCTTCATATTTCATTTTTTAAAAGAAAACCTTTATTAGAAAAAATACAAATACTTGCAACAACTGATCTAAAGTATGTTATAAAGATAACATTTTCCTTACCCAGTATACTTAGGCTCTCCGTCTGAAAAACTTTCTGAAGTGGAGGAAAGTAAATGACTAATAACTGTCCCATGATGGATCCAAGAACCGCGTAACAAAACATTTTATTACTGCAGAGTCCAATCTCAAACACAGACTTGGTCTGTTGGCAAAGAAGAGTTCAATTATTACTCCTTGGTCATTGAACCAACTTTATTATTAATACAATCACCTTCAATTTTTAATAAACTTATTAAACAATACACTGGCAGTACCATGAAATCTCTTAATTATAATTCTGGAATAACTCAAATGGAACAGGACATATTTTAAAGCAGCTTCTCTTTATCAAAAAAGGGCTTACTCAAAAAGAGCTCTGCTATATAAATACACACACAGAGAGAGCAAGAGCGAGAGAGAGAGAGAGAAATGTACCTTAGCATGCCAAAGCATTAAAAAACTTTCATTTGTATATAATTACCTTGCTAAATCATTTCTGTCCTTTAAGGTAGATAATCTAAGAGCTTTTCTTGAATAATAAACCTGATTATGTGTATACTGAAAGAGTAAAAGTGACTTTCTTAAAACAAAAACCAAATACTACTGATTCTTTAAAAATTAGTCTAAATTTCTCAATTTACTGTACTTGAAAAATTTTAGCATGGTAAATAGTAATATAGCTAAGTATTCACAAGGTGCTGTAAAACTGAAATGAATAGTCAGGTATCATATGGAACAACCTTTCAAGGATATGCTCTAGAAAAGTACCACTAGGTTCTACTCCACTTTTTCTAATGAAGTACTCTGATTAAGAAAAGCAGTTACATCTAAAGATACAATGGGGGAAGAAGAGAAAATTTTAAGTGTCATAAGCTTTGACACACTGATGGAAGTAATGGGAAAAATTCATATACACCAAATTGTGCTTGTACTTCTGTTTCTTTTTCTAAAGTAAGACTAATACCGCGGTAACAGAATCCATGAGATCTGTCCTATGCTCAGAAAATGTTAATCTGAACCTATCACAGAGCTACAGATAATAAGAGAATGGAAAAAAAGATCAGGTAATGACACTTGTGATTTACTTTGATCTTCTTTCTGGTCAAAGGTAAGGCTTATCTCTCCAATTGCCCCATCTCCATGATGATACGCTTACAGGCACAAGTTTGTAGGAAAGCTATATCGAGAGCAGTAATCTGTGGTTATAAAAGCAAGCAATGCTAAAAATCCATAATCCTTGCCTACTTACTATTAGAAAATGCTCTACCCAGCTAAATCAATCAGCTATGATCACCTAACCGTACCTGGGATCTGGAACTTAGTGCATTGAACATGTCGAAAAACACGAAGCATGTGAAGGTCATTGTAGTGTCTCGAGGTGTTATCACATTGTCTCGTAGCTGTCAAGAGGAACAAGACTTTTCAGTGGTTGAACTTAATGGACAAATACCACATGCTTTGAAAAGCTTATTATTTTCTTTCTCTTAGGATGAAACATCTTCAGTGTAAAATGAACAGCTATAATCTTACAAACCATATATTGGATATTAAAATAACTCTTATGACAATAAAGTTCCTATATTATTAAACACAGATTTTCTAGCTTTTATCCAAATTTGTTAATTTTTATTGTATCTGATACTTCTCTGCAGATTTAAATTTTTCTAATAGACAGAAGTTTTATTAACACTTACATATTGAAATCAAACTATTTTAAACAGCTCTTATATTTTTCAAAGAGCTCTCCTAACTTTTCATCTTCCATGTAACACATCAAAATAACCAAGAGCCCATCATACAAAGCACACATTAATAAAGCAATTTATCCAGTGAATATACCTCCCGCCAGAAGACAAACAAAGTCCCACAAACAATGATTATTGATGAAACGAGTATTTTAAGTATCAGGTTTTTGGTCAAAATGCTGTCCTTCCAGTTGCGTGGAGGTTTACGAATGACATCTTTATCCACTGGTTCTACTCCAAGGCTTTAAAACAAAAAGAAAAGTCAATTACTTTAAAATTTAAGATTTGGATTTGTTACTCAATTATTCAGGAAACTAAATGCTTTCTCAGGAAAACAAGATGTTGAATCACAAGGAAAACCTTGGCTATGATAACTAGAAAATAACTACTGATTTTATCTTTCCCTCCTAATTATTCAGTAGTCAAATTTAAAAAGAAACTATCCAATTTCATTTACATTTACTTATTTTAAACATGGCCTGAAATAGAGTATCAGCTGAACTCTGAATTATCTTCCATGTAAGGAAGTTGCAGCTGAACTGATGTGTTGCAGGGTTCCCTTGACATGTATCACTACTCTGTGTCGAGAAACCATACATATGGCCCTCTTCTTTAAAAAAAGAACACTTAGATTTTTTTAGGTCCTTCAATACTTTCCTAGAATCTCTAAATTGAAAAAAACCACCTAGTTAATTGAACACTAGACTCAGAGCTTTCCTATTATAGTCCATTCTTAGAAACAAAAGGCTTACTTCCTGAGATCAGGACCTTGTACCAGTTCCCAGTTCTGTTCTCAATTCAAGGCAGGACACTTAACACAGCATAAAGGTTCAGGTCCATAATGTATGAATGAGCACCCACAGAGAACAAATGATATATAGATGATATATACATTTGTACTTACCACAATTTATAACACAGATGCTGCTGCAAATATTTCCCATGTATTCCATGAATGAAATTTAAAACTTAATTATCACACTGTTATTCCTTGTTTTGAGTTTATACATGAAAAAATGCTTACCTTTGAGCTGGAGGTCCATCCATAATAATATTGATCCACAAAATCTGCATGGCATTGAGAGGATTAGGAAAGTTCATTAATGTAGCCAATGAGATTAGAGTTAATGCTGCTATACTCCTGTTGAAAAAAAGAGTCATTAAAAAAAATCTGTCACATAGTAAATTCTTATTAATTTTATATTTTTTTAACTTTTAAAAAATTCAATTTACTACTACTTTTTAAAGGCCATGTTTCTAAGGATCTATGTTTCATTCATGTGAACATTTTGAAGCTGTGTTAACCCTTAGAATCCATAATATTTAAACAGTATTTGAACAACAGTAAATAGAGGGAGATTTTAAAAACTGAGTTTGGAGTAGCTGGTGCTACACAGAAGCGAAGCATTTCAATGACAATTAACTGTTTTTGGTCTGTTTTCTACTTTTGGAAAAAAGATACTAAAAGTAAACACTAAGGTTTCACGCCCCCTTTTTAGTAATTTTAGAAGCTATTAAGTAATCTATAAGGGTTTATATATGTTGATGATGATACAGCTTTCTGACACATTTAGAAACTATCACACCATTTGAAATTTCAGACTACAATTAATTTTCATTTTGCCAAACTTATACATGAACAACCCTCAGAAACAAGAACCCAGAAACTTCTAGGACTCTGCTTAAATTCTACTTTTTGTTTATCTGTAAGACCCATAAAGATAAACTTCTTACAAACTTACGTGCTTAGTTGAAATCTAACAAAATTTTTAATGTTATTATAAATGCCTTTACCCTCTTCAATTGCAGACCTGAAATTTAAAAAAAAAAGAAAATATCACACAAAAATAAAGATACATCTATACTTAAAAACTGTTGAGCTAACTTTGAAAACAACTTCCAACTGACAAAGCCCATGTATCAATAAAATAATCTTATTATCTTCACACAATCTGGATTAGAAAAAGAAATGGGGACATTTGTAGCAAGTAGTTAAAGCTAAATCTAAGTCTACCTTAATTTCATTGTGCACAATACTAAAATTCTTATCTTAAAAAGATATTTCAACATTAAAATTACTTACTGTCTTTCAATACAAGTGATAATACTACACATTATATTGAAATAATGATCTTCTTTACCTCTCCAAGTTCATTTTTTCTTAAATATATGAAATGCATGCATATTTCATATAGCCTGAATTTAATTAGAATAAAAGCTCCATGAGGTTCACTACAATACCACACCAGTGGCCAGAAAGTGTGACACTTGGCTGGTACTTGGTTAATGTTTCATAAATCAATGGCCCTGCCATTTACTACTATGCCTTTTGCATTCCATACAAATAAACTTCTTGCAAACTACACACTAGGACATAAAATAAAATTAACCTAGTGAAATAGTTTAGTTTTTGCCCAATATTTAAAAATTGCCAATTCTTTGTCAGTTGAATTGTCGGGGTGGGGGGTGTGGTATGGGAAGGGAGGGGGTAAGGTTCTAAGATGCACATTCACTGAAACAAAACTTACATTATGGTCTGGAAATCATCATCTACCAGGATCATGTCTGCTGCCTCTTTGCAAACATCTGTGCCAGTCTGGCCCATTGCGACTCCAATGTCTGCTGCCTTCAGAGCAACTGCATCATTCACTCCATCCCCTGTCATGGCTACAACTGATCCCGTCTTCTGCAGAGACTAGAGTCCAAGAGGAAGAAATTCTGATAAAAATGTTGCTTACACACAGATAAAAAGAAAAACAAATCCTCTCTACTTTTTTTTTTAACACATAGTTAAGATTGAAAATAATAAAGACCACCAATTTTACAACAAACTTAAATATATTGCGGGGCTTAAGATAACGCTTAGAAAAGTTGCTACTGATACTTCTGTGTGAGAGAACTATATATCTAACGCCTGGTGTACAGTCAGTTAACTATCCAATGGTTCTCAGGGGATATTCTGTCTCCCAGGGGTCAGCCGGCAATATTAGAGATCTACTTTACTGTCATGACTTGGGGAATGCTAGTGGTATGAAGAGGGTAAGAGAATAAATGCCATGATCACCATTCAACACACTACAAATCACAAAACAGGCTCTCACAATGAAGAATTATCCAGTCCAGATGTCAATAATACTCTTAACTAATGAAGTGGCAGGCCTTTAAGATGACAAATAACTGGAGTCCATTAACTAATGGATACAATGTCAGCCACTTTATATATATATATATATATATATTTGACTAATAATATAAGTAGCCATAACCTTTTAAATATTGTTTACATGCTCAAAATATTATTTTTTGGGAGTGGGAAGGCTACATTTATTCAGTTTCTGAGTGATTACTGCTATTCACACTGGGATGCATTGGCTACTAACTTCCTCAGAGCCTACTTCTACATTGTTGAATTGTTTAAAGGAGGGTGCAGGTAGTTCAGTAAATTTTTCTTCTACATCTTCCTATGCTAACTAAATTCTCCCACTGCAGGCTCTCAAAAATATACCACTTGCTTTGCTTCATCACACCTCCAACTTCCATGCTCTTAGTCATACAATTATAATGAAAGGCCAAAAGTTGTGTACTTGTTGCATAATGAGATAGAACTACCTTGATTCTTAGAGACTCACCTTAATAATTTTCATCTTGTGCCTTGGACTAGCTCTGTAAAATACCGCAACCTGTTAAAATACAGGATACACTAAAAATCTTCAATGTTAAGAAAGATTACAATGACCCACACACGAAATCAGGAAAAAGATAAAGGAGGGCAGAGAGGTCTAGCTAGGCCCAAAAGACTAAAAAAATTCATTAATAATACTTGGAGAAAAAAGGTATGTATTCAAAAGACATGAAATACCAGGGAGAAAACCCTAGTAAAAAAGTCCTCCTTAGAGATGGAGGACTTCTAGCAATTCAGAGTTTCTCACAAGTCTGAGATTTTATATTGGTTTAATCATGTGTAATAACATCAGAGTATCTGCCATAATAAATGCACAAAAACTCTTATTTGGAAAAGACCAATGGTGTAATTTGTGCAGACTAATGATGTAATTTGTAATTTGTTTCCTTCTTCTCTAACTACTTTTACATAGTGTTTTTAGAGTTCATTAGCATTTTTATCAGCAAGCCAGAAAGTGAGCTGAAGAAAGCAAATAAAACGAAATTTTAAATCAGTCAGTTTCACTACTTGCTCACATCTCTGGAATATGAATGAAGGTCTAATGGGAAAATGTTTAATTAACTACAGGCTTCACATATATTTAGTAATATACACTCTGTCCCAATGTCCCCCAGGGAACCTAATATGGAAGTTATTCCTTCAGAAATAAATTTTAGGAAGGAACTATCAGGCAGGACAGATACATAGGGTACATTTCAGATTTAGAGAACCTTCCCCTCTCAATCCAAAACAAAACAAACACACACACTGCTCCCAGATGCTGTGAAAAACAACATTCATTAACTCCAGTTCAGAGCACTCAGGTTAAAGGAAAGAGAATGACACCTCTCTCTTTGCACCGTACTTTGTAAATACAACACAACCATTGCTAACTGTCATAGTACCTTCCTCAGAGAAAACTTGTTCTTGCTGAAGTTAACGAATTTGCACTGATACTTATAATGATCACATCAAACATTCCCTCAGTGATAAGACTGATTTCAATAGTAATACTGCATTTCTAGATTTAGACCAACAAATTTGGTGGTTATGTCCCAGCTATTCTCACAGTTTCATTAAGATAATAGGAAGGGGAACACTCAGAGTAAGGCCTGCCTTCCAATCTAAAGGTTTTAGTCTCAGCCTACCTTTGGTACTATTTGTGAAAGCTGCTGGACATCCATCGCATCTATCTCTTCTCCTGAGACTGACTGTGAAGTTTTGGAATACAATCCCAGACGACTAGCTAAAATGAAAAGGGAGAGAAAACATAATTAACCAAACTGGTTTAGTCAACACACTGTCCACTTAATATGATTTGCTAAACATTCTCTTTCTTTTTTAGTATAAAATGTCTCCGTAACAGTGAGTCACAAACCAACTACTGCTAAAACAAACTTATCTGAGTTAGTGAAAAGACTGTGGCTTTCAATGTTTTTGTTTAAATTTAAGAATTAGATTTTTTTTTTTTTTTACAATTGATCCCACCATACTTAAGAACTGAAATTAGACCAACCAGGTTCTGCTCAATACCTCAATTTTAATGAAGATGAGAGTGCATTTTAAGAGGAGAATCCAAAGTCAAACAAAATGGTGACGGATTTTTGGTAATCAAATAGTTGTATACAAACAAAAGTAAATGTTGAAAAGTTTTTCCAGGTGCAATCTTCCCATTAATTTTGTTTCTAGTAATAGATTGTTGTCAGATAACATTAAAGTGTGAAACTTCTGGTTTAATCTCTTTCCACATTAAAATCAGAATTAATAAACTCCAGTGAACTGTTTATCAGTATAAATTATAGTTTACAGGTTCTGGGAGAGTAACTTTCCTTTTTTCTCCTGTACCTCTTAATCTTAAATAGCATAGCCATATATACAGACAACAGAAATAGAGACATAAGCTATTTTATTTAAGTTGAAAGACAAAAATAATTTTGCTTCCTTTCATATTTATGACCTAGTGATTTTCATGTCAGCAGATTATAAGATTGGAAATAATCATCTATCCTTTTGTGAATATATATGCAATTTCATAATGATGTAGTTATACATTTTTAGTGGTACTACTTTTTAAAGAAAAATTTTTGCTCACACTTTTACAGAGTATGAATGGAAAAAAAACAACGAAGAATCAATATTATTTGGACACATCTCATGTTCACAAAGCACTGCACTAATTTAAGAAAAACTGTCAACAACAAAAGGAAGAGCCTTGTTGTACCAATTGCAACTGCAGTCTCCTGTGAGTCCCCAGTAATCATTTTTATGGATACGCCTGAAGCAATGAGTGTTGTAACCGCTTCTTTCACACCAGTTCTTGGAGGATCGATCATTCCCACCAAGCCAAGAAATGTCAGCTGTCCAAGTTCAGGACCAGAAGCCAGAGCAAGAACTTAGGAAACAAAAGCCAATAAAGAAAATATAAATCACAAAAACATTAGAATTTAGCTGACAAAAGCTAAAACATTTCTCAAATAATTCACTTAAGACTATAATGTCATCATAGTTATTACATAATTTTAAAAATAAAAATTGTTACATGCTACGACATTATACTTTAATGGCTTCAGGTAGGGGGTTGCTTTAAGCTATTAAAAAATTTAAAGAACTCATACTGAAGAACAGGTAAGCAGAAAAGATAAGCCAAATGCAAATGAAAATATATTTTCACAAAGTAATTACATGCAGCTCTTTTCAACATAAAGTATTGCCTCTTTAGAAAATATAACTCATTATTTGGTGAAGCTACAAGTTTGCTAAACTTCAAAGTCAATTTTAAACAAAACATCTTTGAAGGTAACTTCTACCCAAGTACCATGATATTTCCATTTTGTAGGTCTCCTAAACAACAGCAAAGGCTGTATTAATTTTGTATATGACAGACCACAAGAGATAAAGTTAATCTGTAAAGGCACTAATATAAACAACAGATTGGATTCCTTCAACTTTCTATAACAATCACAGGTCTAAATTTGTAACTTTGGTTCTATAAGAGTACATAATTATACCACCATGTTATTATTTATACTTAATTTCCTGTTATCCTTGGCCACTTAAGATAAAGCACAAAGTATTTTAATTTCCAAATATATCATTTAGTTTATGCTCAGAATTCTGGAACTTCTGGTAAACTACCTTATGAGTCAAAGGGATATGGCTCCATCTGGGATGTAAGAAAATACAAAATAGCAGACAAACTAAACACAGGCGGCTGGTGGAGAAACCAAACAGTCCCAGAGAGTGCAAAGGATGTAGCCACTGTTAATCAAGAAGAGTATTAGAGGTATTTGGAAAGACAAGGTTAAAGGTAAATAATGCCTATTTTTTCCATGTAAAAGAGTAATATACCTAACTACTTGCATGGATGTGGCCCAAAAGGCTTCACCCTGGATAGAATGAGCCACTTGACAGGCCCTGGCGCTGGCATAGAGGCAGATGGAAACAGGAGGAGACAGTGAGTACTAATTTGAGTTTCAGCAAATGAAAGGGAGATTGGCTCTCGGCACTCTCAATGGAGGGGTGGTGGGAATCTAGATTAGTATCCTGTATTTATCTGTTTACTTCTTTAGCACAAATGACTGGGATGTGGGTACTGTTTGGGATGAGGGTAGATAAACTTCCACGTGGTGAGCCCTGGACTGAAATATAAAACCAAAACACATTCAAATTACAAAAGTAAGGGCTACACATATATTTTAAGAAACTTAAACTTACAAGATGCAACATAAGCATATATTAAAATTTGAATCTTTCTGCTGTTCTTCATTATGGTCTTTTCAGGGGGAAGAGAAAAATGGAGCAAGAGGAAGAAGAAAAGCAATGAAGTAAAAGATAAATAACCTGAATGTTTCCCAAAGCCCAGGAAACAAAGATTTCTCCTCTACAAAACTCTGGAGTGTTTCACAAGGTCACAACACCAAACCACTTGCACACAAACCTGTACAACCCTCACAAGGAAAGAGTCAGGCGAAATCCAAGAGTGTGAAACCCATTCCAATAATTAAGGAAAACGGGGCACATTCCAGGACATATGAGACCGTTAGGACTTCTCAGGATCGCTAAATTCAAGCCAACTTTGAAATCCTCCTGCTGTGACTTACTAATAATAACAAAACCTTTCAGAGTCATGGGAAAACCCTTCCAAAACTAGTTTTTCTTTAGAGCAGAAGTCCTAAAAATCTATCCAGAGAAAGTGCTTGCCTCAGTCACATGGGTAAGACTATTTTTAATATAATTTGTTTCCTTTCTCCCAGGAACTATATAGCTTAACTCCCATTTCACTAAAATAATAAAGTTAGGGGAAACTACTCTTCCTTGAGTGAGACCACCTAAGCATATGAATATATATACTTAAATTCATAAAATAAACCAGATGACTATCTGAAAGGGAAGGACCAGCTATGGCGCCCGCCCCACCTCTACCCCCCAACACTCTACCCCCTGCCCCTGCACACCAGCGCTGCACTCGCTGCTGGGCCGCCAGGAAGCGCACGTGCAGGCCTGTGCCCTTCTCCACCTCTCTGGTCAATGGCAAGGGAAGGGAAAGAGCAGAGGAGGCTCAAGTTGCCATCACTTCAGTTTAAAGGACAGAGTCGAGGCTTAAGACCGCAATACTAAAGCAAATCTGAGTCCTACTAATAAGGAAGACACTCGAAATGATGAAATAAGGAAATTCACCTCCCTTCCTCCCTTCTCACAAGACACACTTGTCTGAAATAAAATTTCTATTGCTACTTAGAGACCACTGCAAGTTTGTAAGAACTGGAGATTTTCACATTTTACTAAATTCCCAACTTTTCAGGTTTTGGGGGTCAACTAAAACTAATGGCTGAGAAATGGCAGAGTTCTGCAAGGCCAGGAACAGAGTCAGACAGCTCAAGCGTGAAGCATGAAATCATCTACAATGAAACGGCAGCATTTCTTTTCCATCCTATGCCGAACAGCCTTACCTCTCAGTCCTGCTGAGCCCATCCGCGCCTTCTCCTGCTGGTACAGATCTCTCTGCTGCTGGGTGAGGGCCAGGGTCTGCCCTTTACTTTGGTATGTTGTGCAATACTTAATCACCTGTTCGTAAGCACCCTTCATAAAACAGATCTCTGGTCTGTCCTAAGAAGAAAACCAGCAAACAGATTCCGCTTACTTGTATTGCTACTAAAGTTCAGAAACAAGTGGCATACATTTCTGATTAACCCCCAGGAAGGTTCCCCAAGAGCATGGCACTTGAACTCTGATGATTAAAGTTCCTATGTGGCACTTTCTGAACTCTCTATAGAAAATGGCATCTACTCCCACCCCGCCCACTGAAAACAGTGCTACACTAAGCCCTGGGCCAGCCACACTTAAGATCTGGGAAGAGGCTCATAACAAAGCAGGAAGAAGATCAGCCCACAAACAATGGTTCGGGTGTGTGTGTGTGTGTGTGTGTGTGTGTGTGTCCGTGTCCCACTTAATTCTCACAACCACCTTCTAGATATTTATCACTTTTTCTTTTATTTCTTAGCCTAGAAAAGTCATACAAAAGTACACAAAATGTACAGTGAAAAACTGCAGCCTCCTGACCAAACCTCCTCACCCCCAGTCCTAGTCCTGCTCCATAAAAGCAAACCAACTTTAACCCTTTCAGTTGTTTTCCTTGGTGTTTATCCCCATGTTTTATTTTTTTAATTGTTTTTTTTAAAGTTTTATTTATTTATACAAGAACTGGGGTATAGTCAGAGGCACAGGAGGGTGAGAGAATTCACCAGAGCCAGAGCTGGGAGCAGAACAGGCAGAAGGACCGAAGTACACTGCTGAGGGGAGCAGCGGGCGGCAGGAGAAGTCTGCTGCGCCATGTGGGTTTCTCCCTGGCCAGCCGGGAATTGAACCCGCACTGCAGAGGCTGCAGACAGCTTCACAGCACAGCGCTCAACCCTCTGCGCCACCAGGGAGGCCCTATCTCCATGTTTTAAAATAAACTTCCACTGTTCCATTTTCACTCATCCACATTCCACTGTCTGACAGGTGTTGGTGTGGCACCACCACCGCCAATTTCCCCTCCCCTTCCCTCTCCCTTACAACATAATACAACGTAACCTGCTTATTCTCTTAATGACTACTGAGTGCAGCAGCAGTACCTAGAGTAGTGCACAGGCACTCCAGTTCTCCTGATGAGCACAGACCAGGACTTGATTTCCCTGCCCGCCCCTCTCTCCCATTTTGAAGTCAGGACTTGCGTCATTTCCAAATGAAAATGTAGGGAGAGTGAATAATCTGTTATTCCTGTGCCCTGCTATGACAGTGTGTGCTCACACCAAGATGACGCTGCCATCTGCCCGGCTCCCAAGTAACCAGTGAGTACATTTTGGGGGTGGGAGGAAGCAGAAAATCATGATGATGTTTCTATTGCCTGTATAAAGAAATACTTCTTTTCCTATTCAAGTTGTATCTTCTGTAAAGTTAGTAGCCTTTTTATTTCCTTACTTTCTTTATACCTATTACTAACTATTCTTGAACTCTTCCATGTAATGTCAGTGATGTTTGTCACAGGATCACATGTGCACGTCGGCCAGCACTCCCATCACTGCTGAAGTCTTGTTCTGCCCTTTTCTAATTAACTTGGGGTGACTTCTAGGCCTGCTGCACCCCTGGTGTTCAGGAACTTCCTTTCACCTTCATCCTGGGGTTTCTTTTCACCCCTCTCCTGGGACAAGACTAATCAGCTTCTAACCCTCCCTCCTAGTTTATTCTTTTATCTTTGAAGAACATAACCATCAGTGTCTTTCTAAGAAAAGCTATGTGCGATACACATTTTGAGACTTGGAATACAATTCAGAGACTTATAACACTGAAACAAATTTTATGCTATCTCTAATTTTTATATGAATAAATTTCCTTTCAATTTGAAGGCTTTCCTCATTATCTTCCAGCATCCTGTGTACAGTGTTGCATTTGGAAGGTCCAAAAAAGCTATTTTACTTCCTAAACCTTTGTATCTAATCTAGTCCTCACCCTCCCTCATGGTTCAAATCCTCTGGAAGCTTTTAGAATTCTTCCTAAATGTCCTCAAATTTCTTGATTATGGATCTTGTGTTTAAAGCTTCACCCCAGTAACCCATTTTAACATACTCATTGTACTGAGCAGCTGGTGGGTGATTCTATTCTAAAAGCTAATGTCCTTCCTTCCTCTGGAAAATATTCTGGTGTATTTGAAAAAATTTTTCCACTTCTGGTCTCTCTGCTTATAACCACTATTAGGTGAATACAGGATCTCCTATGTTTATTTTCCGAGTTTTGTAAATAATCTTTTATGTCTTCCACTTCTTTGACTTTTCTACTTCCTTACAGATTCCTGAGTTTATTTGAAAAACTACCTATTTTGCTGTAATTTTTTATGGTCTGGAAATTTTCTTCAACATCCAGCATTACCTTTGTTTTTCTAAAATGCCTTCCTGTTGATTTGGTCTTTCATATGAAGACTCTCCCTAAATATCTAGCAATCCCTGACTATCAGCCAAGAGTGAAGCGAATAAAGGTCTAGAAGCTCCATGGACATTTGGCAGTCTCTCCACATTTGCTGGCCCTCGCTGTGGGGGGCTGAGATGGACCCTGGAGTAGGTATGCTCTTCCAATGAAAGAGAGCTTAGTTAGCAATAGTTTGTACTGACAGACTCTCCCTGGAACCAGTTAGCTCCTCCCAAAACTCTTCGATCTGACTTAGAGAATGAGGGTAGGGAGACACATGCCTACAGGTATCTTACCAAGTAGTTAGAGCCTAGAGGCTTAGTTATTAGGACAAAGACTTTCTTTAATCACTCTGTTTTCAGTCTTAAACCTTAATTCTGCCCTCCACTCCTGCCCCCAAGATCAGAGTTCTATTATTCCACATGGGTAAAGAAGGACTAATGATCTGGCCTCAAGAAACAGAAAAGGTACTTGGGCAAGTTGTACTGGTTCCTTACTCAGAATTTCAACCTGATCCCTTAGCCTTATGCCTTAGCTCCACCTTCAAAGATCCCTGGCATCCTGGGTCTTTTTCACACTTTTTTTTTTTTTCCAATTCAATTTATTGTTGGTTGTCATTTATCAGGTTCTGGAGAGACTAAATCTCAATACATATTGTCATATTAAAATGAAAGTACTTTAAAGACAAACTATTTGAACCACTGGGGTTGTTTTAAAGTTAGTAAGTTTAACCTTGTCTGTGCCAGGCTGACCTTATCTAGATCCTGAGTCACATGAGAAGTTTTAGATTTTGTTACCTCAATGGGTTGTCTTGTTTTTTAAGAGGGAGAGTTCAGGTCAGTAAATGGGAAGAGCAAGCGTGTAAATCCTTCCAAACATTGCCACTCCCTGTCTCACAACCCCACAGGTGAGAAGATTCAAAACTTCCAACATACAAAACTGTGGTAAGATTCAAAACTACTGAAAATTCACATCTTTAAACTTTACTTGAGGGCCTCCCCTGGTGGCGCAGCGGTTAGCCGCTGGGCTGCGAAGCTGCCCGCAGCCTCTGCAGAGCCAGTTCAATCCCTGGCCACAGGCTAGGGTCCCACATAGCGTGACAGACCTGTCCTGTCTCGCCCGCTGCTCCCCTCAGCAGTGTATTTCGTCAGTCTACCTGTTCTGCTCCCCGCTCTGGCTCTGGTGAATCCTCTCACCCTCCTGCGTTTCTGACTGTACCCAGTGCTTAAATAAATAAATAAATAAATAAATGAAAGAGTGGAAACATTAAAAAAAAAACTTTACTTGAGTCACATCACCATGAGTACTATGTGATGGCATATGAAGCACATAAAAATAGATCTTCCAAATAAACTCATAGATGTATTCTTGATATATAACTATATGGTCTAGGGAAATCAGCTGAAAACTACCTCTAAGCATGATTTTTAAAAAAGCTTTATTTAGGAGGCTTAAAGTAACAGACATTTTATTTTTATAGTTATATTTCCAATTGTTCCCTTTCCAGGAGTTTATATAACTTCCTTTCAAGTGCACACAGAAATCTTTTCTCCCATTCTGAACAGATTCCTGGCATGCTCCTACTCTCAAGTTCATTATTGGCCAACTTAGCCTTTTTTTTAAAAACCAATGGTTTCCTACTTATTGAGGGCGAGGGGAACCCTCTCACTCTTTCCTGTTTACAGAAATTTAACTGGTTGCAAAGTGTGTACTCATAGGTGAAAGCACATAATCAATTATCAATTCCTATCAAAGGAAATGTAAAAATAAATATTTTCAAAGGCAAATTATGTGTCAGCATCAAACTGATTATAGCAACTGAATAATACAGTTATACATTGGAAATAACTGAGAACTCTTATTACATCAACTATGTGAAAATCTCTAAAGCATCAAGGAATAATGTAGGAGCTTAAAATATCAGTAAGTCATTTTATCTAAAGTTTGTAAGCTTGATCAATTAACAAGACTTTTACACATTTGATAACCACTTCACAAAATAATGTGGCTTTGTTTGTTCTGCAGATAAGAATACAGATCAACAACAGCCAGCAGAGACCTATAATAAACTATGATAAAAACAAAAAAGACATGGAGATAATATGATGTCAAAAGTTCCAGGAAATTGAGACCAGGCTCTAACTCCTTTGTTTAACACAACAGAATTGGATAAATACATGCATGAAGTAAAGGAAAACATAACAGTAACAAGGGATAAGTAGGTAATAATTTGTACACATTTTAAAGCAAGAGGTCTTTGTGTCTTAATGACTGTATCAATCTAGAGACTATACGAAAAATAATTATCCAGCTTAAACAAGACATAATAAAAATTTTTTAAACAGGATACCTGCTGTGTTCGGTGTACACACTTAACAGCCATCCACTTTTGCTCAGAGCTAAAAGGATATTCAGCTTTTCTGATATAGTCCTGTTGAAGTCCATCAAGACCCATCTACACAGTGCAAAAACAGAGTTAATTCTTACTAACGTGACCATTTTTCTCTTTAACAAACAGTAAGAGTCACAACTTACAGTTAGGCTAGCAAGAGATAACTGGATTATTTTTTAAATAATAATGAAATCTACATTACAGAACATATAGACCTAGAATCTACATATAGACCATATTTCTATGCACAGCTGCATTCATGTTCAACATGAAAAGACTGGGTGTACAGATACAGTCTAAAGCATGCTATCAAATAGTCAATGTTGCCTATATTAAAGTTTCTTCAGGATCAAATTCTTAAAGAAGCAGGTCACAAACAAAGGTACCAAAAATACTGATCATGTACTTTCACATTCAATAGCAGTTTCAGATCCAGTCCCTCACTTTACGAGGATTTAAATACATCTTGCCTGTTGCTGCCATCCTCTCTCACACCGCATGACATTCTACTACCAGTGTCACTCATTGTTCTCCCAGCACCCTGTGCATTTCCTCCGTATATTCAAATTTATTTTTAACTTACTCAAAAACCTAGCTTAGAGCTCTCTGTTGTATATTAAAACATGTTCAGCATTTCTTCCTGACTTTTAAAGATTCTCCAGAAATCCATGATACCAATGTTTAAAATCCTCCTGACTACTCAAATACCTTTCATTTCATCCATGCTAACCACAATCCATCTGTTTATTTACTCCTCTATGTTATATTGTACCTCTCTCCCAACCTTACCTCATATCTAAACCCTTCTTTCCCTTCAAAGTCCAGATCCCAAGCCTGAATTTGTACTGTTCTTACTTGTGGTTCAATGTTCAGGATTTAACTGTCTATTGCCTTGGCATGCCTATATTTTAAGCATGTCATGTAACTCCCTACCTAAAATGTGAGGCAGGGAGGTGGCCTCACACTATGCCTTAAAGAGTAAAAGTATAACATTTAAATACCTGCTTGCAAATTCAATGTTTGAGTGTCTTATTTGAAAGCTACACTATGCTATTTTAGTAATAAGAACAAATGATAAAGAAATTTCTGTTAAGGAAACACAGTATTACAAAATTGCCCATTTTATGTTACTAAATTCAATAGATTATAATAGCCTATATTTCTATATTGGGTCTCAATTCAGGCAACTTCACTTAGAGGCATTCTGTTTCATAGGGTGTCAAAGTTTCCTAAGAATACTCTTAAAAGCAGGAGCTTTTATTTGTTATGGGAATGTCAGGTTGGATATCTAGGATTCTCAACTTAATCAATGTAGGACTTAGGAAGTGACAGATGAAAGGGCCAAAGGAACTGTACCCTATGTCCCCAGTACAAATTTCCTTTACTCATTTTAAGGAACTGATAATGGATGGAAAGGGAAGTAGACTGGAAAAAGAAAATTTTTCATGATTAATATCTTCACAGGGAAATACTATACAATGTATTCATTTGAGAGTATTTATCAGCAATTACATATATTTGCAAAGCCTTTCACACAAAACTAAGTATTTCAGATAAAGTAAGACATTTCATAAGAAGAAATTCATCACTGGTCATTAGTTTGTATCTTGCAAGCAAGGAATAAAGTCATACTGATAAAGCTCTATGCACTGTATTCCCAAGGAGAATAAAACTGGCTTCCAAAAGGTAGCAAAAAAATGAATAATGTTGAAACTTCTTCACTCTACACTTAAAAACCAATAATATTGAAATTGATGGTCTCACAGTCTTATATTAGAGTTTCACATGTCAAAGAAAAGAGATCAGGCACCTACCTTCATTGCAAGAGCAATTAAGGCTCCTTCCGTTGGCTTCCCCATTAGCGTATTATTTCTAATTACAGCATCATTGCATACACAGCCCGCCTAAGAGACAGAAACAAACTGTGAACCCATCACTGTGCTCTAGGTCATTATGAAGTCATTTTCATAGAAAATAAATTATTTACCTCGACAATTCTGCTAACAGCTGGGTTATAAAATCCATGAACAACATCGCCATCAACCATCACTTCCCCAAATGGGTTATAGCCAACTCCAGTAACCTAAAGAACATAAAGTGGGGTGAATAACAAAACCTGTGTGCAACTAGTTGACAGTAACCATACTTATGAAAATGAAGAAAATGGTTAATTGTCTTCATTTTATACATCATGACCCTGTGAGAGAAAGCCTAGAGAAGTAGTTGTCTAAAAGAAAGTGGGATAGTTAAAGGAATACAGGTGCTCTCCACAATGTTAAACTTGTAACCAGTTATATTAACAATTATTATTAATATTACAACTAATAATGGTACTAATTGTTTACATTTAACAACATACTATAAAAATATAAATCAGGAAGTTTCTATGCATAATTTATATGTTACATTTATATTACATTTCTATAACATACAATTTGCAAAGACTTCAAATTCATTATCACAGCTAACAGTCCTGACAAATCTATGACCTAGACAAAAGCAGAATTCTTTTTGCAATTGTGCGAGGCTCAGAGACAGTTAGTGATTTACTTTTAGTATTCACAAACTAACAGAATGACACACAAATTTTGAAAGTAAGAGGTAGAGCAAACCAGATACCTATTTTGTGTGATTAGAACCAAGCCAAACAACGGGAAATTTCACAATAAAAAAAAAGTTAGAGAGGCTACTGTTTTGCTTAAAAAATTATGGGTTTAAAACAAAAGAGAAACTCGTATCCTGCCTTCCAGACCTGGATCATATAAGCACATATAAGATCATATAACCTCAGTAAGACTGAGTCACACAGACAGCAAATTCAACAACAGAGCACTGGGTATCCTTAACCAGATCTAAACACCAAGAGTCTTGTTTTAAGATCCATGCAAAATAGAATTAAACAAACCTAATCACAACTTCTGTCAGTTTGTCTACTGCTTACTTTGCTCAGAGAATCCGAATTGGTTTTAAGTACATTCTAAAATACAACCATCATAAGTAGTATTATTTAACATTCCAGAAAGAAATCCTGCATGGGCTAAACTTGTCCTCACGCAGCTTCAAAATTAACCGATGTGCTAATGTGCACTTGAAAAGACTGTCCATATGTAATTTTACAGATTAAATAATTCATCCATGTATTCATTCTTTGAACCGTAAGGTCCTGTCTAGGTAACAAAGTCCATGCTCTGTTACAACTGATAGTATAATGGAAGAAGAACAGAACATTTTACTGGGCTAAGGACTAAGAGGTATGGAGTACTATTAGAACATCTCACCAAGATCAGTTCTGGGTAATCAGCAATGTTTTTAATGGAGCTAGAATTGAGGTGCAATGGTGGGATGCAAAAGTGGGGCTAGAAAAGAGGCATTAGACTGTCTTAAGCAATGAGATCACCAGCAAATGTCCTGAAGTTGGAGGAATCTGGTCATACGCAAAAAACAAAGTCAGTATATCTGGTGCACAGAAAGCAAAGGGCAAAGAATAAGGCTGAACAAGCGCTAAGTACTGAACATGCAGGAACTTGAGGGGCCACATTCAAGAATTCCCATCATAGCAGAGAGCCACAAGGAGTCTTAAGTTAGGGAGTGACCTGCTCAAAATTTGGATCTAAAAGATAGCACAGTGAGAGCATCAAGGCATGGCCATGAATGGATGGAGGGGTGACTTAAAGAGAAGTATAAGTGACATTCAAAGCTTCTGTACTGTACTTCAAGTGCAATGTAACAAGTGGAGCAGGATCAAGACTTGACAGAATCACATGAGAAGGAAAATATTCTGCTGCTGACTAATTTACAGTCCTTTTGAAGGTAAGACACTGAAATGGATAGAAATGTTAAATACCAAGTTTCTTAACAAAGGGAACACTTATTTAAAAAAAAAAAATACTCTGGAATACCTCAGCATGCTGACCATCTGATGTAAATATGTGGGTGACAGTCATCTCATTCTTCGTAAGTGTTCCAGTTTTATCTGAGCAAATCACATTACAGCAGCCTAAAGAATAAATCATCACACATTACCAGAAGCATCAGGGAGAAACACAAGTTCACACTGAAAACAAATCAAAGACTGTGGAAGCCTGTCCTGCTTCTCTGAATTTTGCATAAATCAAGCTCATTGATCATTTCAGATATTTATATAACTTTCTTTCACTATGTTTGCTTTGTCATAAGGTAAGTTCTGAAAATAAAATTTTAAATTAAATATTAGTAAATACTTTTAATTTCAATAGTTAGATATTACCTTCACATCATTTTACATAATACTCATTCTAGAAAGTTTCAATAGTACCTAAACATAAATCTATGTAATTTTTTCAGTCAGAATTTTAATGTATTTTACCATCTCAATATTAAAATGCAAACTATAAATTAAATTCAGTATTTTGGGAATCGTAAAATTTAAAAAAAAATGTTGTAAGAAAGTCACCAAACTTCTACATCGCACACAAAGTTGTGTTATAGCAATAGAACTACTGTGTATTTATTATCAGCAAAGTCAACTCAAGTATGACTATAACTATCCATAGGGTCTTTAACTATCAATTATCTTCCTTGAGACAGTAAAAGGAAAAAAAACCTATTAATTTTACTCCAAAGTTTTATTTGCTATCTGTAGTTTTTTAAGCATGATTTAATCACAGACTATTCTCTAAAGCAAGAATATTGCTTTGGGAATTCTGTATCCTGAGTAATAAGGCACTTTGAATTACCTTTTTGGGTTGCTAAAAACCATATTCAATATTGCCACCAGCCAAACAGCACTATGCAAAACCTCTGAAACAAAAAATGTAGAGTCCAGGGCCTCCCCTGGTGGTGTAGGCGGTTAAGCGCTGGGCTGCGAAGCTGCCCGCAGCCTCTGCAGTGCTGGTTCAAATCCCTGGCAGCCGGCAAGGGTCCCACATGGTGTGACAGACCACTCCTTCCGCGCCTGCTGCTCCCCTCAGCAGTGTATTTCGCCAGTCTGCCTGTTCTGTTCCCCACTCTGTCTCTGGTGAATTCTCTCACCCTCCCGTGCTTCTGACTGTACCCAGTGCTAGCATAAATAAATAAATAAATCTTTAAAAAGACAAAAATGTAGAGTCCAAAGATGAGATGCTGTTGGAGGGAACTACCTAGTCATTGCCTGAGTCCACTTTACCACACACTTACCCAGAGTTTCAACTATAGGCAGTTTTTTCACAATGGCCCTTTTCTTCACCATTCTCATAACACCAAGGGCTAGAGTCACTGTGACCACAATGGGAAGCCCTTCAGGAATTGCTGCTACAGCCAAGCTGAAACCAACAAATACACGGTATTGAAACAGAGCCCCCACTGTGGTAACTTCAACTGGCTGTTACTTAAAATAGAAGCTAGTAGAAATGCAAAATTAAAACCCTCAGCATCAAAAATGGTCTTCTCCAAAGGCAGGGGAAGCGGGTTAACATTTACTGGATACCAACTAACAGCCGGGTTAAGGACAGGGGCATCAGAAAGCCTAGATCTGTATCCCTAGCTTCAGCAATTTTTACCTGGGTATCCAGAGCTACTTATTATTCTACCTCTATAGCTTAGTTTCCTCATCTATAAGGATAATAGTTAACAGGTGTTCAGAAAAATCTTGCACACAATTGTTCATAGTAGCATTGTTCACAACAGCCAAAAGATGTCCAGCTGAAATGTTCACCAACTGACAACGGAAGGCACTATTACTCAGTCACAAAAGAAGTGCTAAAACATGAATGACTCTTAACACTATTATGCTGTCAAAGAAGTAAAAACACATGCATTTAAAAGAAATATTAAGAAAGAGCAAGTCCATAAAGGCAGACAGCAGTTTAGTGATTGCCAAGGACTAGGAAGAAGGGGGAATGGGGAGTGACTGCTTAATAGTCGTAGGGTTTTCTCTAGGGGGTTCTGAAAATGTTCTGACACTACTGTTTATGGCTGTACACTGTGAATGTATATAATTCCACTGAATTGTACACTTTGAAATAGTACATTTTATGGTATGCATATTCTATCATAACAAAACTTTAATTACTTCACTTTTCCTTTATTATATAAAAAACACCAAATTAAATTTCTAATTTTTTTGTCCCATTCCAAGTATTATCTCTTGACTCTGCTACAGATAAGGACATATGCGTATTTAGTCTTTATTCTGTTTTCCACAATCTAATTTTTCTTTAGCATCATCTGATGATATCATTAGTATCTTGTTCTATAACCAAAATTAACTTTTCATACTTTACATTGTGACGCTAAAAGCTGAAAGACAATGGGTCACATTTACCATTGGTTAAATGGTGTACACTGAAGAACCAAGAAACATGTTATCACTAATACTTCTTTCTTTTGAACTACCCTGAGCTCAAATAGAACCCTTTTTCTTATGTTTCCATTAAGCCTCACTATGTCAGGAAAAACAGGCATCATAATTTTACAACCTAGATCAAATGGGTCTTTTGATTTTTCTATTTAAGTTATTTTATATAGAATTTGCAGAATAATTGAAAAATTCATTAGAGATTTTAATTTGATTTTTGACCCCAAGCTATATTCCTGAATTTGAAACTGCATTTTTATCTGAAACAGGCAACATCCTTTGGAGGCATCTAACTGTGATGAACAAACCAGGATCACAGTCACCTTATAAATACTGATTTTAAATTCAAATAACATTTTGAATAAGTTGTAAGCTTTATCTATTCGAGTTCCTCTAATTGTATTTATTTCTTCAAAATCAATACTTCCAAAATGCTGATGGCTCCTGACCTTGCTGAGGGCAGTCATCTTTGTGACAACTGCAAAAATTATTTTCACTTTTAGACATACAAACATCAATTACAATGGTGAAGGCAATGAAGTTTTTCACTTCAGTGCCATCTATTCCCTTTTAATAACCCTTATACTTATACCAGCCTTTAACATTTCTCCACTTACAAATGGTATGAAGTAAATGTTTGCAAACAAACACCAAATGAGATGAAAGAATACTATCACACATCCTTTTAGCAAAAGATAAGGCTCAGGTTCTTACTATCACACATCCTTTTAGCAAAAGATAAGGCTCAGGTTCTTGCTATGAAACAAGGCATGATGAAATAAGAGTCCTTGCTGGGGATTGACTAACTGGATGAGAATATCTTTCCCTTATTGTCCTTAGAATCAAACTGCTCACTCATCAATTCAGGAGTTGAGAAAATTGAGAGTATCATCATTCAAGGATTCAGTCTTGACATTTCACTTACATAATTCAATTTTATCCTCATCATTAGTATCTACAGTGGTATCTTCTGTTTTGTCTAATATCTGAAAAATTCTGTCTATTCTTTATGCCATTATGTTGGAAAATGAAAAATTCTGAATGTAAAACAAAAACCACTACAAAAATTGTGTCTCTAGACTTTTAAATAAAAATGTAACACTTTGGACAACATAATAAAAGTAAAGGATAATAGAATAGTGCTTATTTATAAATGATATCATCCTTCTCAACAATCCTATCATTCTTTTTCATCCTTATTGTTCTGCCCACATTCAGCACAGTTGGAGGTAATGGTTAAAATAATTGCTAGGGTAATGATATAGCAAAATGTTTCAAGACATAAAAAAAATAAGATCATTAAAGATCACATAATGTATCTTTTAGACTCATGGGTCCAACAAATTCACGTAATTGCAAAATAATGAGTTCTTAGTCTATTAAAAAAATTTTTAATTTTTCTCCTTCAGAAAACCTTAAAGAAGTCATGAGGTGTCACTCTTTCACAAATAATTAATCTGAGCATAAGAAAATGTTCAAAAACTAAAAATGAGTCCATCCAATTTTTTTAAAATGCACTGATTTTTGCTCTAATACTTGAATTATTACTCTTAGGCCTACTAGAGAACTGTCAAGCAGAATTTGTTTTCTTTACAAGCCTAGGTGAGTCCCACTCTTTCATCTACACCCACATATCAACATCTACCTTTCTTTCACCTTTGTTTTGCTGGAATTTATAAAAGGAGGTTAATACATACTAAATTAGATTGATACTTTGGCTAGACATAGAGACTTATAATCATTTCCCCCATATTTTGTTCCCCCCACTGTCTTCTAATGTAATTTAATGTCACTAAAGGGTTAGTAAAATCCTTTTCCCTCTCTGTATTGCACTAAATCTCTGGCTCTGCTCCCCCAGTGACCGGGTATGGTAGCATGCCAACTTTATGGCGAGACAACATAGCTTGTAATAAAGGACTCCTCTGATAAACTTTTAAGAGACTGGGAGACTTGTAATTATCCTGTAGGAAGCCTTATCTTTGGAGCTCCTGAATGTAGTAACTCTTGTAACTGGTCTCATTTCTTGCAGGAACCCTGGAAAATCTAAGCTTCCAGAGATGCTGATTCCCTTGAAAGGAATGATGATGCATTTTAACCAGGGCAGCTCCCGCACTCACAAGGTCATCTCATCTGTACCTAAACTAAAGTGCTGCAAGGACACTCTCAGAAGAGGGTTGAAATGAGTTAAAATGCTTAGTAGAACATAAAGAGACTTTGTGACGAGAACTGTAGTTGCGAATAAGAACTCTTAATACCAGTCTAACTGTCATTCCTTTATAGACTACATGATTTGCTTTTTTTAAGTTTGACAAGGAGTTGGAGTTTTTCATTTTGCATGGCATTGGAAGAATCATTTCGAACTACAGATTCATGCTTTGCTTCAGCTTGAGAAACTTTATATGTATCATTTCTTAAAATATTTCTTCTTACTGCCTTTTAAAATTCCTTTTAGATAGACCTGGATTTATTGAATTATTCTCTTTGTCACCTCAATTTCATTCTGTTTTGGACTTTTCACTCTATTTTTTGGGGAGGCCTCTTTGATTTTATATTATAGCCCTTAAATTGAACTTTTAACTTCAGTCATCAATCTTGTTAAAAACTCTTTTTCTGTTCTGTGATCCCTTTTGTGTCATGAATGCAGTTTCTTCACAAATCTCTAAAAATATAAATGCTATTTATTTTTGTTTTTTCTTCTAGTTCTTGAAATTTTTCAATTTCCTCTGAGATTGATTATTCAATTTCTATACTATGGTCTTCTTCTTTTAAGATGCAGTTTTCAGTTTGATCATCCTTAATTGTCTATTTACATATAAAATAAAATATTGGGTTGGTAATACCAGACATCAAATATTTGTTTTCTCCACTGCCATATATGTAAGTTTTCATTTTCCTACAGTTCATTTCAACACATGAATTCTGAATTCTTCAAGAAGATACTTTACACTCTATGTGCTCTTATATCCTTCCATAATGGATCAGGAGCTATGTTTATCAGAGAAATAAGTGAAAGAAAGGACACCTCAATTAATAAATAATTTATTACAACTTACCTTACACTAATGGTGAACATTTCCAGGATATCTTTTCCTAATAACCAGCCAACCAACATGATGATACCTGGAAAAAAACGAAATAGCTACTTTTCTCTTTTATTTAAATTCATCTCAGCATAGAAGGGATAGAAGCCGAAGGAAGCCTACATAGGAGAGTATATCCGATCAATAATACTAGATTTCACAAAAGTCTTTAGGCAGAGGAGATTAAAGTGAATGCTGTTTAACGCACATCAACACATACAGTCTTACCTTTTGCTGCCACTGCTGCCACCTATCCCATAAAGCAATAGTCCCTGAGAGTTGTCATTGTAAGAAAATATTACCAGTATTTTCATACAATGGGAGGGGGAAAAAAGAAGGTAGCACAAGATACCACCAATGAAACAGTATCATCAGTTTTAGTAAAATAAGCAATTTCAAAACTGTATTCTAGATAAACTTGGAAACTTTAAACAAGTTCTTTCATCATGATGATCTAGATGGTGACCTTCTTAGATTCTACCTGAAATATTATCATGACCAAAGAAATTATGTCCAATAATTCATACCAGGTGTCAACTAAAAATATGGGGTTCCTATATGATTTTGTACATAAAGCTTGTTAGAATATAGTCATACTCAGTTGTTTATGTATTGTCTGTGGTTACTTTCATGCTGATAACAGAACTACAACAGAAACCCAATATAGACTACAGACCACAAGTTTAAAATACTTACTATTTGGTTCTTGGACAAAAAACTCTGCTGACTCCTAATTTTGAACTTGACCCTCATCCTATTCCATATACTAACTTAACAAGAAATAACAATGTCTGATACATTATACTAAAACCAGGTAATCATAAAGTAGAAATATTTTTATCATTAAATTTGAGGTGGTTTCATGGTTTAGTATTAATATAGACTGGAAAGATTCAATTGGCTAAATTCTCTCAGATTTACCAAATTCACTATACCTTTTTAAAAATACCAATAATCAATAAATGAAGTTATGAGAACATACATACCTGTTAAAATAAGAACAATGAAATACCTTCTTACCTTCTACCTATGTTTGTAATTAAGATAGCTCGGTAGAATTAACATTTAAAGAATTATTTCACTGAAACTGCATAGTAGAAATATTGCTTTAAAATTAAATACTAATTTTAAAGCATTAAGCAAGAATAATTAAAATAATATCACAGAAAAATAAAAGACTGCAAAACTGGTATAAGTACTTAAAGTATGAAAAACACCATGTCAAATCAATGAAGAATGGATTCTAGAACTGAGGGTACCAGGATAATTAAGTTGGAGCTAAAAAGTGATGACCTTAAGTTTGACATAAATTCAAAATAAAAATTTAATGTCAAAAAAAACTAAAGAAGGTTAAATTAATAACAATTAAAAACTTTTTCTAACATGGAAGAGCCTGTATGAATGGAACAAAGAAGCCATCACTTCAAAGACAGTCAATAGGAATGTGCTCTCAAAATCTCAGGGTAAGGGCATGCTTCAGTTACACACATCTCCCTCCAAGTTTATTATATATCCCTCAAAAGACTATTAAAAATCTGAGGGGAAAAAAATACTTATAACTTAAACAACAAAGGACTGACATCTTAATTATACAAGAAGTTGTTACCGATCTAAAACAAGCCACATGAGAAGAAAGGACCAAACAAAGCTAGACAGGCAGGCCATAAAATAAGAACCAACATGCATAAGACAAAGTGTTTAGTTTCTCTAATAATAAATTGTGAAATAAAACAATAAAAAGTCTTTTATTCGCCTGTTAATGACAACACTCAAAGTTGACAAGAATGCTGCAAGACACTTTATCTTGCCAATAAAACAAAAACTTTCAAAAACATACCAAAAATTAAGATAACATGGCTCCTCACTGGCCCAATGATTTTATTGTTAAGAATTTCTCTTCAAGAAATGAACATTGTTTACAGTAAGATACCTGCACTGAAGAATTATTTACATAACCTTAAAAATTTTTTTAAAAGCTACATAAATGTCTAAGAGGCCTGATTTTATTACGTAAAAACATATCCTTACTTATTTTATATATATTCACAAAATGAAATACTATGATGTTTACGTTTTTCAGGTGAGCATCTACTTAATGACAAGATGTTTATAGGATATTTGAAAGAAAAGAGCAGTCCATAAAATAATACTATCACATTTTTATTGAAAACTAGAACATATTACTAAAATATTTACAGAATGCTCTCTGATCACAAATTACACAGAGTTCTATTTTATCTTTGTAGAAAAGGACAATAGTTGGGGGTTAGTTTTATAATTAAAAAAAATAACAGCAAGCTAAAAAACAATCTATGCATCTAAATATCTAAAATATTTTAATTTTAATTATTTCCCTCAACAAGGAAACCTAAGTAAATATATGAGATACACATACTCACTCTTCTCTTACCTATTATACCAAAGGAGTAAAAGGAAAGTTGTTTTCCCAAGAGGTCCATGCTCTTCTGCAGCGGGGTTTTCGGTGCCTTGACAAATTGGAGAAGATTGTCACCACAACTAGCAAAATTTAGGTTAGCCACACTAGGTGCTGGAGAATGCTGTATGCATGAAGAACCCATGCCAGGGCCTGGCATACATAACTCTCCCTTAAAGTAATTACCATCCCTTTCACGGAGGAATGAGGTTGAGACTAAACAATGCCTAAACTCACAAAGCAAGGAATATAAGGAAATATCTGTTCTCCCTGTCAGTTTCTCCCTGTGCTCCCTCACATTTCCAATATTCCTTCTTCCTGTATTCACAGAAATGCTAGTAACCCAATGCTTTTAACCTCGTGGTCCCCTGATCTCCCATCTGCCTTCACTGACAAGCTTCTTCAAATTATTTTATACAGCAAATCAAATAATAGAGGATCTTAGCAGGTTGCCTGAGAAATCCAGAAGATTTGGGGAGAATGGACATTTGTAGAATGAAACCTTTGTTTTATATATATGTGTGTTTGTGTGTGTGTGTGTGTGTGTGTGTGTGTATAGATATAAAATAAAGTGTTTCTTATTTTTATTTTTTAAATATTTATTTTTACTTATTTATACATATAAGAACTGGGGTACAGGACAGAGGTGAGGGACTGAGAGGATTCACCAGAGAAAAAGTGGGGAGCAGTACAGGTGGCTCTACTGAAATACACTGCTGAGGGGAGCAGCAGGTGAGACAAAAGAGGTCTGCTGTGCCATGTGGGTAGCTCCCTGACTGGGGATCAAACTTAAATGAGAGAACTAATGTTCCATATCCTTAAACAAGAATATATGCCAGGTTATTTTACTTTGTAATCTTTCCCCCACTTTTTACTTGAAATTATGTAAAGTTGAAAATTTGGATATAAGACATGTTCTGAGTTACACATAAACTAATTAATGAAGCTAATTTATAAAAGGAATAATGCCCTATAGGTAACTGTAAACCCTTTTCTTCTACAAAACACAAATATCTAAAGGTTTTATATTAACCATGTCAATTCAAATTCCTTTCAAAAATTACAGATTTCCCAATTATGTTTTTAAGCACAGAAAAGTGAGTGGTATCGTGAATAAAGTATTATACTCAATAATATATAAAATAATGCAACAATATTCTTTTTAGATTTGCAACTAGTACACCACTAACAAAGTACTCACTTCTTCTGCTTGCATCATTTTAAAGACTTCCCCAAATTCAGAATTTTCTCCTGTTCCAATGACAATACCCTATAGAGAAAAATAGGAAAATATATTTACATTTAAATGGAATGTCTCTCAGCCAAAAAATAAAATTCCTCATTTCTTTTCTCCTTGGTCTTACCCACCATCACAATGTCTCACATACATATCCAAGGTCACCTTAGCAAGTTTACCCCTGATGTTCATCAGTACTTACGCTGTATGACTAAATGAAGCCTTTCATATTTGTAGAATATTAGAATCCAGTAAACAAAATATTGAAATGAATCAGCAGGTGAATGATATATCAAATCAGAAATATTATAGCTAAATTAAAGTTATATTTATCCAGCAATGATCATATCCATGAGGCGTGGTTTCTATTTTTAAAAAATAGCTCAAGCACTGAGGACTATGTTTTTAAGGATCTGCTATCTGGACAGTGACAGAACTATGGGCATATTATATCTCAGGGACATAGCCCCTCCTCAGTCTCAAAGAGCTGCCAAAGATTGGGTTCAATTCTGTTATTTGTCATATATTTTGAAAAAAATCCACATAAAACTAGACAAAACAAAACAAAAAAACTCTAAAAAAAAATGGTTGAATCAAAGGAACTGCTATTTTCAAAACAAGAAAAACAATGACCTTTGCTTTGCCGCATCTGACCAGGGTCCCCATGAAGGCAATGTTACTTCTTGATGCAAGAGCTCCATTAGTTGCGGCAGGCTGAGGAGCGGTCACCTTCGAACAAGGCGTTGTCTCTCCTGTCAAGCTGGACTCATCAACGGAAAGATCCACAGCCTTAGGGAACAGGAAGCATTGCAATGAGTTCAAGTTTGAAGACTATGCTACAGGTAATATCTAAAGAGTGTGCAACTATCTCTTCTTCAAATGTCTCCTTTCTACCAAGTATCCAAATCTTTTCATTATATCCATTAGTCTAAGACAAGGTCAGGCTTAAGTACCACCGTATTTAAAAAGGAGAACAAAGTTCAACACGCAAAGTAGAATGTTGTTTCATGAAGCAAGATTAGCTTAAGTTTCAAAATACAGCTATAGAAAAGGAGATATTATTTGAGACTATCTTTATTTAAAGGAAGCACAAATCTCATGATGAAACAGTATTTCCTAATATTGCCATGCCCTGAAGTTCTGAAAATGTGTTTGGCAGATTAAAAACTAGCCATGACCAAAAAAAACAAAACAAAACAAAACAAAAAACACCACACAAAGGGTATAAAGGGTCTTATGAAAGAAGACACTTCATTTCTGGCTCAATTTTCATGAAATTTTTCTAGTTGCATTATCCCAACATTTAACCCAAATACCTATCAGCAATAAGCAAAAATGTATTTAAATGTTTCTATGCAGACCATGAGTATCATAGTATCTTCCAAATCTGCAAAGACTTCAATTCTGAGGGTTTCACTCAACATAATTAAGTGATCACTTACCCAACCACGCAAAATAATCAATTATGCATAGAAAACACTGTAGGTATGACCTGGCTGTTTCTGAAAGTGTGGCCTATGGGTGTTAATAGGAATCATGTGCAGTATAACAGATAGATGACAGACAGCTAGACAGACACACACACACACACACACACAAAGGGGGAGGGCATGCTAAGCTAAGAATTAAACAGCTCCCCCCATTGCAGCGCTTCTCAAAACTTTTCGTCCATGGCATGAATCGCCTCTGCAGGAACAGAGACAGAGCACAGGGTGTTAGTGTGGTCTCGGCAGGACCAGCATGTCCTCTTACACCCTAGAACTTGTTAGAATTCACAGTCCCATTCACAGAACCAGGGAGGGTGAATCTCCAGGAGATTCGAGAGGAGCCAAGGAAGAGTGTTTCCCCACACATCTTGATGCACTTCATTCCAGAAGCACCTACACAAGGGTCTTTAGGACTCCAAGTGGGTGTGTGTCATCTACAGAAATCCTCCTGAGAGGATAAAATTTGTCTTTTCCCTTGGAAGACTTTTTAAATGTTGTAAATATTCCACCAGGATAAATACTAACATTAGGTAGTTGTCTATAGGAATAAAGTGATTTTTTTGAAGAGGGAAGAGAAGCACGGCTTTACTGGCTGTCACAGCTGAGCTGTTCAGTGTCAGCCTTAGCAGAACAATAACCATTGTTAAACAAGCTGTTTAACTCTTAAGAAAGACTTAAAAAAAAAATCAGATTTTTCTACAGAGAAGAGGCATGTCATTTTTAGTACAATGGTAACCAGCCTTGTCTAGTTCAAAGTGAAATGCGTGCTGGCTCCTTATCTTTTGTTCTATATAAATATAAACTTGTAAAACTCAAATTTTCAAGAATATGTTACTGATGAAACTCACCTACTAAATTATACAATGTAGGAAACTGCACAGACTGTACTCTTGTTAAACAAGAATACTTTCTGAGTTATTTTCTCTTAGTGGTAACTAAGTCTTCACAAGAGGCAGTCTTGAGGGGGTAAGGAAAAGGAGGTCATGCCTAAGGGTGGTATTTTAAAACTTTGGCAAGTCTGTTACAGTTTACTAAGTCACAATTTAATTCATCTAAAAAGAAAGATATTAGTCATTTATTCACTGCATTGAGAGAAAGATAGAATTAAATGAAAGCATCAGCCAGCTCCATGCCTTCTAGCCAAAGTTTAACCATTAAACCTTCAGAACCCCTAATAATTAAGGAAACCGATTATATTTTACTTTCTCTTCATTCTTCCTCAGGCACTCTGTGGAAGTGTGAATAAAACACAACACAGTTCAAAAGCCAGGCTATAAATAAGAATCAAGATGCATATATAATCTCCAATTAATATTTATCACCTACAGAATAAAAATGGTTGAAAAACCTACAGGGAAATTCTTATAAAAGACCAGTCAGAAAAGAAAGGACATGCCAAAGTCACAAAGGTTTCCTGACAAAGAATGACTTATTTTAAAAATTAAGGTTACTGTGAAACAACTGGAGTTACAAATAAGTTCTTCAACCAAATAACAGCTTGGTGTACTGTGGGCTGATAAGTCAATCCCCTCACTAATCTAGAATCAAAAGCAAATCAGAAATGAGTTTCTTTTCCCAGAAAACAATCTTCCAAAATATTCATCGGCAGCTGGCTAATGATGATAATATTTCTTACTTCTCTCAAAAACTAAGGTTCCTCCTCTTACTGTTAAATGAAATGAAGGCAAACGTAATTAAAAATTCTTCGTGAGCTCTATTTCATTAACAATCAAACCCCAACTAAACAAGTGTTATAAATTATTGAAAAGGCTGCATGAAAGGAATTTTATCCTGTGGTAAATGTGTGCATGATTTATTAACTTTCTGACTCACATGCATAGATTCCAACTTGATTAAGCTGTGAAAATGTAAAGGTCATCATTGGGTTAATGATTTCTAAGGTAGTTCACTAACAACAATTAAAAGAAAACAAATTTCAGAAATGGATATACTTTTGCAAAAGTCCTTCCCCATCAACATGAAATGAGATTCTCAACATGAAATTGGAATCTTCAAGACACTAACTCAGGCTCATTATTAATCCACCCATATTGTCTTTTCTAATTCTAATGGCTTAATGAGAAAAAAAAAGTTCTCTCTTGAGCCTTTCAAACATGAAGAGCATTCCTCAGTTCACTCTGCTTCTATATCACAGACTATAAAAACCAGACATCAAAACAATAACCTTTTCTTCTACTCCTCTCAGACAAGACACACTCCCTAAGCCCTCAGAATAGTAGTAGTTCTCTAAGTTGTGTAGTAACATTACTACTGCTGAAATAGACATCCTTTTCAAGGCCAAACACAAATGATATTGAATCAAATAGTTTTTAGTGAGAGACCAGGAATGTTTCTTGATTCCACAAATATACCATATACTTTCTCCAACATTACACTCAATTTCTCAACACCTAATTTAAAATCTCCACTTCTTAAGATGTTTATAAATTCTCTTTAATATGTTTGTACATAAGCGTACTAATTCAGATACTTTTAAAAGTAAAGTTTCTGGGGTAAATGAAGGGCAACAACACACTACAAAATCAATTTATCCACCAAAAAAAAAAAAAAGAAAGAAAGAAAAGGAATTAATGCCAATATTAAGCTTACAGCTCAAGGATAATTATCACAGATAATAGTGGAGTAGGGCACTCTAAAGTCATAATCCCGCCACTTAACACAATCACAAGTTGGCAAAAACTGACAGAATGAACTTTGGAATCAAAAAGTGCTTAATGACAAAAAAAGGCAACTTAATTTCCGTAAGAAAACATGTGTTATTTTTGTTTACTTGTCTACTGTCTCTTATTCCCCAGTGATGTAGCAATAAGCACTGAGACAGAAGCATGTATTCCTGACATTTCCTCTTGCTGGCCAGGGGGCTAAAATGGACCTTGTTCTTAAAATAGTGTGGTTGTGTGTTTTGGCCTTTCTTGTGTCTTACCTGACACAATTGAAAGATGTGACTTGTGACAATATGAAGGTAGGGGAGGAGTGAGCTTATAGGAGAAAAGTTTTTGTATGCTATTAATGTTGGTAGCAATTCAAACTGCATTGTTATAAAATTTAGGATATTAACTGTAATACCCACAGAAACCACTAATAAGTTCAAATATACAGAAAAAAAAGGGAATTGAGAAGGGAGTCAAAGTATACTTTTAAAAAACACAAAAAGGGGGAGAATGGTGGAATTAAAGAACATAAATCTTTCTCCACCAGTAACCACTTCAAATGTAAATGGATTAAACTCACCAATTGTGTGGCACTGCCATGCAATGGAATATTATTTGGCAACACAAAGCCAGGAAGCACTGTTACAAACTACAACATGGATAAACCTTGAAAACATCAGGAAGTGAAAAAGCCAGACACAAAAGACTACACAGTATACAGCTGCACTTGGATGAAATGTCAAAAACCATCAAGCGGATACCAACAAAGCCGGCAGGTTAGTGCCAGGGTCTGCTAAAGGTAAGGTTTCCTCATGGAAAATGAGAATATTCCAAAACCAGACTGGGGTGATGGCTTCAGAACTCTCTTCCAAAAACCACTGAATAGTACTTTTTAAACATACACATCATAAGAGATGTGAATTCAATAAGGAAAGGAGGGGAAAAAAAAAACCCTGAGGATATGTTGGATGGACCAGAACTTCTGGCACAGACTATGAGCGATTTACCAATGCAGAATCTCAGCCCCAGACCGGCCCATAGCCCCAGACCGGCCCACGCAGTATCCAGGTGATTCCTATGCAAGTTACAAATTAGTATACATTACAAAAAGTATCCAGGTGATTCCTATGCAAGTTACAAATTAGTATACATTGCTCACACAGTATCCAGGTGATTCCTATGCAAGTTACAAATTAGTATACATTACAAAAAGTATCCAGGTGATTCCTATGCAAGTTACAAATTAGTATACATTGCTCTAGGGTAATTCTATATTACAGTGAGAAAACCCTAAGGTCTGAAAATTCTAAGTGGCTTGCCTAAACCCACATAGTTGATTCACTTCATAAGTAGACACGTTTTATTATTTGAATCACAGTTGTTTGTGTCTCCATCAGAAAGGACACATACTGTCTTCTTAGTCCTGAAGTCTGGTATAGTGTTCTATACAGAGTACTCAAAACATTTCTGAATGGCTAATGTGGCTTCATAACACAGACTGATTTTCCCAGAAAGGACTGCATTTTGTCTAAAGTCATTTCATTACCAAAATAAGCAAATTTACAATATCATTACATGCTTATATGCCAGCAAATGTTTGAAAAGGTTCTGTTCTGAAAAAGCCCAGTAAGCCAAATCAGAATCTGAATTTTGCCAGAATATCAAATCTTTCATTGAGTTAATGGGAAATGTGTTTTGTAACCCAGAAAATTAGGATGCTCTGGCACAAAAAGATAGTTCCACGAATGGAGTTTCCCAACACAGAAGATACTTGCTAGTGATTTTCAACCAAAGTGTACAAGAATGTAAGCCTCAAGACAGGAACATAACAACTAAGTAAGATTCTTCTCAAATACCATTAAAAATTAAAATAAAAATCCTCAGGGGGGGAAAAAAAAAAAAACAGAACCTTGAAAATAGGCCTATAGTTCATTTCTTTCTAAGAAATCCCAGCTCCATTTGGGACCCTAAGCCTCCTAAGCTGGGAAGGTTACTGCCACGACACCTATTCATTCCTTGGCTACCAATACTGACACCTACATGTTAATGGGCTATTATGGCCTCTTAATCTAGCTGCCTAACTCCAATTCCATCCCCTCAACATAACCTGCATACTGTGGCCAGATTAAAGTTAAACAGCCTTAGTAAACTGCAGATAACCGATAAGGCTAATTCCTAACCAATGAAATTGTAAGTGTAACTTCATATCCAAGTCCCTTCTGAATCTCATTCCATCTCACATTTTCTACTCTTAACATACTCTACCCCCATATCACATACTGGAATAGTCACAGTGATCTGAACACTGTTGCCTTATTATCTTCTGCATCTCTGCCTAGTACTACTCTTCAATTACCTTCAATCACCACTGCTCCCTTCTCTAGCTTTTCACACTCCATTCTTCGTGCTTTTCTCACTTACTACGTCCTACCTCATTTTATGGTGCATAAACAGTATGTCGCTGATCACTAGAATTCTATCACATCATCATTGTGTCTCCCACCATGCCTAACACACATTTCCATGAGGATGTGTTGATTCACTAAGAAAGACTCCTTGAAAGAGTTTATGGGAAAGATAGATATAACCCTACGGAAAAAACATGTTTATATATGTCAGTTTTTAAATTAGAAAACCAAACACTCAAATCAACTGTGTTAATACTTAAAATTGCTAATGTTTATCCTTTAATTTCCATCCAAGTATTTTCCCCTCTGACAAATAGATCCCCAAATGCTACTGTCTGAATGTTTGTAGTCCCAGTCCCAAAATTAGTCTGTTGAAATCTTAACCCCCAAAGAAGACAATATGAGGAGGCAGGACCTTTTAGAGGTGCTCAGTTCCTGAGGGTACAGTCATGTACCCTATGGGATTAGTTTTCTTAAAAATGACAGTTCTCCTAGTTCTTTCCTCCATGTGAGGACACAGTAAGAAGGCACCAGCTCTGAGCCAGGAAGAGGGCCCTCTCTAGAATGCAATAAGCTGGCACTTTGATCTTGAACTTTCCAGCATCTAGAACTGTCTGAAATAAATTTCCACTGTACACAAGCTATCCAGTCTATAGTATTTTGTTACAGTCATCCAAAAAGACTAATACACCAAACTTACTTCAAACAAACGTAAGTCAGCAGGAACTCTGTCCCCAACAGAAAGGTAAACTGTGTCACCTGGAACCAAGTCTCGTGCAAGCGTATGTTCCAACTTTCCTTCACGCACACTGTAACATGAAACAGAAATGGCCATGGCTGAAAAATGGAATCTGTGCCACGTATTTAAAACAATTCTTTCCAGGGGGGTTTTCTGAGGAAAATACAGAATAATTAGCACTTCTAAAGGAGAGAAGTCAAATATAAGAACCAAGGAAAGGATTATTTTTGTGTTCATGGTAATTAAGATGCTCAAATGACAAAGAAGTATTAAAAACTGGTTATTCAGATACAAAATGAGAAAACTAAAGCAACCTTCTGAATCATTTGGGTCTGTTTGTGCATTCTGTGCCCACAAGAGTGCTTAACATAGCCACACCCACAGAAATATCTGTTGACTGAATCCATGACTCAAGAATCTCAAAATCAGAACTAACTTGGAGTTTTAATAGCATATTTTGTTACGATGAATAGAGCATGAATTTTTCATGCCAGATTAATAGTTTCTACATTATGTATAACAAATCTGGGGTATAATATATATTGCACTAGTTTTATTCAATTTCTGTTTTCAAGAGTAGAAATCCATTATCAGAAACAAGGATCGTACCAATGGCATTCTGGTGGTACAAGTTTACTCAATTCTTCAAGAGATTTTTCTGAACGATATTCCTGTTTAAAAAAAAAAATACAATTAAGAAAAACATTTATAAAGAAATACAAATATGTATGGGTCTATGGACACATTCCAAATTAGACTTAAATATTAATCTCAATCATTATTTAAAATTTCCCCCTTCTTGTCTTTTCTTCTTATCCTTTATTTGTAGATTCCTAACCTCATAAGCTTATCCCTTACTAAACAACATTAAATTGTAGTGACGAGTTTGTAATACTACCAATTTTGCATTTTAATATTCAGTGTGCAAACCTAGGGCCATGTTCTTTATAAGAAATGGAGAAAATGATTAGTATGTCCCAAGAGTATATAATTTTAAGTCATTAAAAGTTAAGGTCATTGATCCTCACAACTGAGAGACTTTTACACTTATTTAAATAACCGTATTTAATAACCACAGAAGTCAAAGAATTAATTGCAAGGAACATTTGTTTTGAAGACCTAAGCCCATGCTAACTGCAAAGGTTTATGAAGCAAGTTTGCTTGGAAAGAACACACATTAAACAAGGAGTCAGGATATGTGACAGTCCTACCTTGATAGATACCATCCCCATCACCCTGAATTATTCACAAAGGGAAATTCTTAGGAACCGTATTCTGTAATGCTCCAGCCTTCTTCAATCCATATACCCAAGAGCTGAGGGGGCCAGAGACAGCATTTCCCTCACTATACTATTTAACCCATGTGTCCATAAGCAGTATCGCTTCACACTACACTACATCACTACTATTTTTGTCTGATGTGTGCACCAAGCACACCAAAGTCTTATTGACTTAAGGTTAAAAAGTAGAAAGGGGGGTGGTGTAAGTGAAAGTTGAGGACTGTTTTGAAAAGGACTGCAGCACTAGTATTGGTCAAAATTCCGCATTTACCACAAACTTTTTCATTAAGAATTTCTGATAGATCATTGATAGTCTTTTGACAATGCATTGTGATAAGTTCTGCTGACAGTAAATAGGATCTTTTTAGGAAAAAATAGTAGCTGTTTATAAAATCCTTCATTGGTTTCACAGGCGCATTTAGTAAAAGGGGTCACAGCTGTACAAGAAACCACACCTACCAATCTGAATCTGGACTTTCCATAAATGTTTTGTGATTCTATCTTGAGTTTTCCACCAAACGAACCTATCATAAAGATATTTAGCAGAGAGTCTCAGCCATCTCATTTAAAGTACATTAACACTCTCCTTGCATATTCACATTGACTAAGTTAAAATCAAAATTTTATGAAGTTGTTTAAGGGTTAGGGCTCTCTACCAAAAAGAGTAAGATACCATAGGGTCTCCATACATAGCAATAACACTGCAGGAATCAGCTGAAGAAAAGTCACTCTAGACCATCTGTAACATCAGTAAAGATGTAAGAGAATTCCAGGACTAGTCCAGTGGGTCACAGCAAAGAATAACTGCCTTGAATAAAGTCTGGAGGGACCTCTGCTGGAATAACCAGTTCCATCTGCCCTGGGGCAACTTTTGTCTGCTCTAACTCAGGAATTCCTAGAAATAGGATCCTGGACAATCTACTGATGGAGTTCATGAACTTGGCACAGATAACTGATTCCTACTGGTTTTTCTATATACTGGGCTGCTACAAAACTATTAACTAAATTAGAGATACCAAATGAGGCCTAGATAATGATAAGAAATACCCAGGGAATAAATTATAGCTATGGAAAACAACCACAATCACTTAAAATATAGTCATAAGATTCAAAACAACATGAACTTCAGGCTCACAACATATATCCTTTTCCCCAAAACTAGAGCAATCCTTCTCTTCTTATTAACCACAATGTGAAGCTTTTAGCTCATAAAATAAGATGTGCCAATATTGTTCTAAAATCTGTGTAAGTTATCAGCTATCTAAAGAAACATAAAGACCAAGCCCATGCTTTATTTCTTCCTAACCTGTCAATAAAAATCCTGACATTATCTCCACATTTTACATCAAATTTTAAGAGGGGTTCCTTTTCATAGATTTTATGTACTGTTTCACTGCCTATGATGAATAGGGAGTTTGACCCAGATTAGAACATTCTTTCAGTCAAAAAGTAAGAAATTTAAATGCTGACTCAATTTTTTTAATTGGGAAATACTGAAAAACCTACTGCTGGATTTTATTTCTATTACTATGCATTTTGTTTATATCAGCTTTAGTTATCTTTAACACCATCAAAAGAACCCTGGATTTTCTTCATGCTATTACCTAAATCAAAGCGGTCAAGTTAGTCCCACAAACTTCCCCGGAGCAGTGTCTATATCTGATATTATTTCAAAAACAAAGAATAAACAATTCTGACAAGCATTACCATCACCCAATACCTACAGATTTTGTCATAAGCCACTAACTTTTTTCAGTAACTGAAAGTGTCATTTTCACACTGGTAGAATTGGCTCTCTACTCACCTGAACAAAGGCAACTGTAACGACAATGAGTATTGCCTAAACAAAACAAAGAAACAATCTTTTAAAATCAGACATTATAACTTCAGAAATAAGTTAACCATATTTTGTTTTTCTGACTATCTGGAGTGCCAAGATACCAAATATTAGCAGCACTGAACTGGGATGGGGAGATACCACAACTGTGCTTCAGGCTTGTCAGGGAAGCACACAGCTTGCCTCCCCTGGTACAGCATCTCAAACTTTTTGAACTCAGGATCCCTTTAAGCTCTTAGAAACAGAAGAGATCTGTTTCTGTAGGTAAATTCTACAATATTTAACACATTGATTACTTCATAGTTATTTGGTTTCAATTTCTACTCATTAATTTATCTAAAAATAATAAACCTATTATATAGTAACACATATAACTTTTCAATGTAAAATACGTTTTCCAAATAAATTATGAGAAAAGTAATAATGTTCTAAAATTTTTCCATCTTTATTATCTACAATCATTCTATTGTAATATGTTGTTCAGGCCAAAGAATATAAAGAAATCCAGCCTCATATTGTTTTTAAAAAAGGGGGGGTAATAATTTAATAGCTTTTTCAGATTATTGTACATATTCTTCTTAGCCACTGCATTGAAATTTGACAAGTGTTACTTAAAAATAATTTGCAATATAGAATCTAAAACTGTATCAATGAATACTCCATAATCTATTATATTATTCATTAATTTATCTTGCATTTTGAATAGGTCTACCACTGATAATTTTATAATATCATGCTCTGGTCACTTGGAACATATTGGTTATTCAAATCTCAAATGTTGACACATTATAGGAAGAAAAAAAAATCACATTCTTTTAAATGACTACTGATCTCATTAGAATGAAGTCTTAAATACAGGACAGCTACTCAGCACATAGAAATGCATAAAATTTTTCTAATTCTACTTGTCATTTAAAAGCTTAAATTTCATCATTGACAACAAATTCTGTGAGTACCTTTTTTCTGAAGTGACAGGCTCACTTCACTCAAAGAAAAAAGCATGCTTGTTATCCAAGTCTTAATATCCATAGCTTGTTTATACTCTTTCAAGGAAAAGGCTAGTTCAGCTCACTACAATCACCTCCCTTGAGGCAACCATCATATGTCAATATGCAAAGGTTCTTTACTACATACTTCCCATTTCATTACACAAGTTGCTTTAAATGTATTCAAAGATCAAGAATAAATAAAATTAGCTTTTAACTGATTTATCAAAAACATTCCTAAGACATACACAATGAAAGAAAACAACAACTACCTGAGCACAGTTTGGTGCTATTGTTCTGATTAAAGTCAAGGCTCTAATAGTTTTACCTGCCATTGTACTTGCACCACTGATGCAAATGTTTACAGTGAAAACACAAATAGCGTTTTAGTTAATGTGGAAGTATGTCTGACCTCACATGCTCCCTGACAGGTACTCAGAGACTCCTGGAAGTCAATAAACAAGAGTTCAAAAACTACAATTCCTACATTAATTCTATTAAATCTTAAGTATTACACATTTACTATAATCAATGTTTGCACTTGCTACAAATTTTTATACTACAATGAAACAGGGGAGCAAGAAGAAAAAAAAAAGATGAGGTAATTTTCAGTGAAAGTCAGAACAACCTAGCTGGAAAAAATAAAATCTTAAATAGTAAATACAGTGTGCATTGTTATGTAACAATTTTAATTTCACAAGTGTCAAGTTTTTGTTCACAGTGAGTGAAAACATTCTAAATTGGAAAATAAAATGAAAATTTAACTGCAAAATTATAAAATATATCTGTGAAATTAAATTGCTAAATAATTTTGACATGTGTCAATTACAGGACCTTTGAACATTACTTGAGATGACTGCTAAATCTGAATGTTAACTAAAAGCAAAATTTGAATGTTAACAAGAAACCTGAAGAGACATTTAGGTGTCTCAATTTACTTTCTAAAAATAAAAGCCAATCCAATTTATATGATCAATCAACAGTTTAACATATACATATATTTTTCTTACCACAGTAATGCTGACAGCATCATCAAATTGATGCATTAAAACACTGATGACTGCAGAAGCCAGAAGTAGCATGATAAGGGGATTTTTAAACTGAAAGTGAAAACAAACACCAATTCAACAATTTTATATGAATGACAGTATTGATCCTTCATATCAAGAGCCTTAAGGAAAAAAAAAAAAACTTAGAATATGATTAGAAATTTCTGACAGTCTACGTTTGGTTTTATAAATCTCTTCAATTAACCAAAAAAAGTGTTAACTACAGTTAAAATTCACCATTTCTTAACAGCTCATTTTCAGGAAGAAAAAAAAAAACTAATTATCAACTCTTAAAACTGAGAATATAGCAATCCCTTAAAGCACACAGTTATTTTTAGTATATTAATTTAATAAACACTGTTCTGAATTTGTGAGGCTAGCTAGCAAGCTATGATTTTTAAGCTAAATATTTAGGTTAAACACTGAGTAGAGCTGAGATTCAAATATTCCTCAACATTCCTATACCAACGTAAATTAGTACAGACTGGAATTCTGTGGTTAACCCATACATTACAGGAATAACTCCCAGGGCAACCAGGAACAGACAGTAACATTCTCTCCACAGAAGAAACTCAAGACATTCCTAACACTGGTTTTCCTCATGTCTACTTAGCCAAGGCAATGGTGTCCAGAGAAACAGGACCACAGCACCAACCCAATCAGGCAGCACTTAAATGACCAAGCATTAATTCTAAGGACACCCCAAATTCTTCCAATTGGACTTCCTACCCCTTAAACATCACAGCTCTGCTGCCAGAAACGCCTCCTCTGATGAAGCAGTGCCAACTGCTGTCAAAGGCACAGAGCAACTGGGCAACAAAGTAGTCATCCCACATAGAGTCCCAGCCCTGAGACACCGAGACGCTAGGTGAGATGCTACCACTTCCCACGCTGTTTGTGGCTCCAACCCTAGTGGTCCCACCCAACCCTGTTTCACATCAGAATCACTTGAAAAGAATATATATTAAAATATATTTGCTAAAAATAAGACAGATTGAAGGTTCTTTTAATATCTAAAATACCAGTTTTTCTATTTTAGACAAACTTCCTTGCAAAGTTATGACCAATACTTTTGGGCTCATTAATAGCAATGGCCCTTTAGAAAAGTTAAACACAGATCCCTTGAAAATAAAGTACCTTCAGGTTAGAAGGGATTAGAAATTTTCTTTACTAAAAATAATCTGTTTCACAAACTAACCCTTCTAGTTGAAAGCTGGCCACAAGACTCTTAATTGAATAAATAATACTAATGTATCAAGATAAGAAAAAACCCTACAGCCTTAGGAAATTGTACAATATAATTAAAAACAGCCGTCATCTATTGACAGCTTAACCTCATACTATAGATAAGGTTCTGAGGATAATAATGATCATACAGCTACTAAGAAATAAAGGTTGAATTTATAACCAGGCAGTTCTAGATTCAAATTACCTAACTTATTTTTACTAATTTCCTAAGTTGGCAGTATCATTTAAAAAAAATTAGCATTCCTATAAATAAAAAGTATGACAGGCACATACAAAAGAAACTGTTAATGTTACACTACATGAAGCATCGTCTTCATATAGTAATGGTTTAGTAATAGAGTTTTGCAACTTAAATATATTTTAAAATAAATGGTTTTAAAACTAAGTGTAAAAACAACAGGGCTTATATATCCATAAGCCCTTTAAGATTCACACTAAAAGAGATAGACATTCCAGTATAATAGAAAATCCGAAGAGAAAATCTGTAAAAGATTATTTCCTTTCTTTGTAAGTAACTTCACAAAAGTAAGCAACTATACTAACAAAACTACATGTAAACTACACAGCAGAAGAGGAGATAAAGCCATCTCACCTGAGAAATGTACTTCTTCCATAGTGGCTCACCCTCGCTGATATCAAACTCATTCCAGCCATGGAAGGCTCGCCTGTGGCTGACCTCACTTTTGTTCAGACCATTCTGAAGATCAGCCTATTCAAGTTTACATACAAAAGTAATTGAAAGTGTTAACAGAAAGCAAAAGAAGAAAAACACAGGCATATATACTAGATGGTCCTGTGTATAAGAACTTCTACAAAAATCAAAACTAACCGGAAGTGACAGCATACCCAGAGGTTGCCTAGAGCCAGGGGAAACACACTGGGACAGAATAACTTTAAAAGGACATGAAAGAACTTTCCAGAGTGATTAGAAGTGTTCTATAGCTTAACTGTGGTGGTGGTTACATTTCAAATGCAGATGTATACTTAACATGGGCACAATGTGTTTTATGTAAATTATACCTCAATAAAATGATATTGTCTTTTTTTAATAAGCAACAATATAGTGTTTAATAAGCAAATAAGCAAACTTGTGATTTTTCTCTGGGTCAAAAGTAACAACAAACCAGTCACAGGACTTAATGAGAAAGAAAGTATCAGTATATTTTAAGCAACTTCCTTTGTTTTCCATTGTTGATGACTGTTTTCTAAAATTTGTTTCTCCAAAAGAAAATTCAATGGATCATAATGGTCTTTCCTGTTCTCTACCTGTCAAACCCTGAGGCTGGGATAACTTTTTGTTCTTCAATTACATAATTATTTCAGGCAGAAAGTTGTGGTTCCTAAATTAACTCAAAATAATGACATTAGATGAACTCATTCTTAGGACATTTTATGTTCTATGCACACCACCTACATCCCTCAGTCACTGTCGCTCATTATTTTTGTAATTATTATTAAACAATGAAATTATCTGCATACCTAAAATAATTAGTTTTTCTGGCCAAAAGCTTTTATAATAGGGTTTAGTAATAGAGTTTTGCAACACTTAAATATATTTTAAATAAATGGTTTTAAAAGTATAAAAACAACAGTCTACCCCCCAAAAAAAAACTCAAAAAGGGTCATTCAGTGCTTTTCAAGCCATCACTAAAATACATACACAAGAAAAAAGAAAAATATTCTTTTCTTTGTGTTTCATTAGGATGTGCTCTTAAAAACTAGGAAGAGATTAAATTACATAAGCAGCTCAAGCTTATTTGCAGATCTGAACTTGTACTTAGCTTTTACTTCACCTTAAAAACACTTAAAAGAAACAAACTCCTAAGTCTACTCATGTGAATGAAATTCTTAAGCTAACCCAGTTCTCTTCACAGAGCACCGTCCCCACAATACTGCTGATCTAGCATCACAGCAGCCAGTCAAGTAACATCCTGTCATTGTGCGCAGTTATTAGCGTATATTCCTCCCCTGTATCACCACACCTCAGAACCACAACAGCCACGTTTAACTAGTGGTCAGTATCTCGACTGGGCGGAGCAAATTTTCTGTAATAACAGAAGATTATTTCTGTAGGCAGGGCCTCCGTGACTGAAACTGGCCTTCTGGTCCTTCCTCCCCTACCAAGCACTTACTTGGAGGATGCTGGCAACTTCACTGACTGGTAATTCGCTTGCTTTCTTTGATGTCAATACAGGAATCATTGTCTCATTTTCACCATTAGGTATTTTTTGAAAACGTGCAACCTAGGAAATTAAACCAAAGGAAAACTATTAAATACACCAGACAATTATAATGCTCTCTAGAATAAATGAAAAAATGTTCACAGCAACTTACTTTCCAGTTAGAGAACAAATATTTTCAAAAATCATAATGAATATCAAACCCTAGTATTTTATACTAACCATGTGTTCTTTTCCAGAAAGCCCATTTCAAAAATTAAGCTACCAGACAGCTAAAAATACTATTTCTATACCAATAGCATCACTATAAAACACAAATATCCTGTCTAACAAATCTTGATGATTACATGTAGTCATAGTCCTCTGAACTCATTGTGTTTAACACAAGAGACAAGGAACAGCTAAGCTGTCTCCATTGTAACTACTGTTCATTTCTTAACATCCCAGAAAGGACACTTGCCTATTCACTCCTCTAAAGCACGATGACAGCCAATCAGACTTAATCAGATCCATTCCCAAACTAGATGAAAAACAAAACCCAACAGAGTCCAGACAAACAGGATGCACAGGTTAACAAAGATGCCCAATGAACAAGCAAAGGCAGAGAAGGTTTGGTAACCAGGGTATATATTTAATATACAAGTAAATTGCTACAGAAAACTGTTTAACACAATTCTAGAAAGAACTCCCCAATCCAAACTTGTCTTGGGTCCTGAAATTCTTTATAGACAAAAGCTCTCCATTACTGAAACTTTAAAAAAGAAAACATCTCAGGGCCATCCTGGCGGTGCAAGGGATTATAAGCACAGCACTGTGAAGCTATCCGCAGCCTCTGCAGCATAAGTTCGATTCCCGATCCCCAGCTGGCCAGGGAGCTACCCACATGACGTAACAGACCTCTCCTGTCTCCCAGGCTGCTCCCCTCAGCAGTGTATTTCAGTAGATCTGCCTATTCTGCTTCCCACTCTGTCTCAAGTGAATCCTCTCACCCATCACACCTCTGACTTACACCCCAGTTCTTGTGTGCATAAATAAATAAAATAAATCTTTAGAAAACAAAATAAACAAGCAAAAAACTATGTGAGGCAGGAGACAGGATCTGGGGAGGCTACACGGTCCTGGACATTCACTCAGGCAAGGCTGACCAGGTCACTGTGGAGCAAAAAGTAGCACTTTCTCCACTAGAGATGCAAGGGGAAGGTCACCTCCCCACACTCTGATAGTGACGGTCCCTGTCACTAAGAAGGAACCCCAGTGCTCCTTTAGATGAAATAGTTTCCATCACGTTAGGGTAACAACCCTCTCGGCTAATGATAGGGAATTCATCATGAAGAGGTCACAAGCAAGAGAAGATCACGAGTTCAAGAGATGGAATGACCTCACAGAAAGAAGAACAGAGACAGGACCCCAGCCCCTTAATTAAGCTGGGTTCAAACTGCTTCAACAGAGCCTCTACCTGTTTTCTGGGGAGCAGCACATAGACCCTGTGCCTAATCCGACCCCACCCCACCCCCACCGCTGCGGAGGCTGCACTGCATAAGCCTGAATAAATTTTCACTTGGTACCTGCAGGACTCAATTATTTCTATTTCTTGAAGAACTGAAGAGCCCAGATTCCAGTAACAAAATCACAGTAAGATACCACTAGGATGGCTAACATCAAAACACGACAATACAGGTGCTAGTGAATACAGAGATATATAGGGACCCTCATACATTGCTGGTGGAATTGTTCAAGGCGCAACCACTAAAAAGAAAAAAGGTGCAACCATGATGAAAAGGTCTGGCAGCTATTACATATACTGTGCAAACCTGTGAGCTTCCCTGCTAAATGAAGACAACATTTTCAGCTCAAAAACAATCTTAAATAATTTAATAATGGTTTGATTTTGAGAATTATGAAATACAAGTAAAATCACTAACTTTAGCTGAAGATATTCATCTTAATCATCTCAAGGTAACCCGATTCAGGAGACGTTATCACTTGTATTATGAAAGCTCATTATCTATGGTCTCAAACACTAGATATTGTTTACTTACTTCCTACCTGGCCTTAAAACCCTGGACTTAACCATATTTTAATCTCTTCATGCTTGCTTTACCTTCATTTTGACTAACAGCATTTATCTGGCATAGGCCTTGGATTATTTAACTCATGTACACACCCCCACCTCATGTGTGGGCGCACGCACGCGTACACACACACACACACACACACACACAACCACACAGACCATAGTTTCTACCCTGTGGGGATGAATAACTCAGTTGGAGAGCCCCATCATACCAACAAAAAGCTGCCACAAGAGTGTCACATTACCATGGTGGCAATTAAGTCTGAAAACTCCCAGAGAGAGACCAATGCAGCCTGGCATTTTGAGAAAACTTACCTGTGTTAAGTCTTGAAGACCAGATGGCAAAGAATGGCATAAGACGTGCCATGGAAGTGTTCCAAGTGAGAGAAGAACACCAGTAAAAGCCATAGCTATGGAAATCGTATTTGTATGTGTCTAGATCAATATGGCCAGAAAGAAATAAGTGTTTTATTATGCAACTCTACGTCTAGTAAATGACCCTTGTCTACCTAGACAGTAAGACAAACTGTAGTGTTTTTAATTGCATGCCATGTAAAAACTGCAGAAACATTTAGATGTCTAGCATGAATAAGTAATTTAAATATGGGGTCTGATACAAATATGAGGATCTATTACAGACCTACTGAACCCAAATCTGCATCTTACCAGCATTCCCACATGATTTGTAGTCTATGCACTACACTATGCACCAGTTTCCAACTCTGACACAAATCAGAACTGCTAGCAGATTGCTATGAACTGAACACCCCTCCCCCAAATTTCATATGTTGAAGTCCTAGCCCCCAATGTAGTGGCATTTCATCAGGGGGCTCTTCGTAGATAATCAGCCCACGAGCACAGGCCCCTTGAGGTGGAATCACTGCCCTTATAAGAGATGCCAGAGAGCTTGCGTGTGCACGTGTAGCCTCAGTGTCTGCGCCTCTGCTTTCTGTGTCTGTCTCCACAATGTGTGCACACAGAACAAAGACAGTCAGCGACAAGCCAGGAAGAGAGCCCTCACCAGGAAGTGAACTGGACAACATCTTGATCTTGGGCTTTGCAGTCTCCAGAACTGTGAATGATAAATGCCAACTAAGTCACTCAGCCTATATAGGATTCTGTTAGAGCAGACAGAAGAGTGAAGACTACAAGAAGGTAGAGGTCTTTTTTTTAGTTTTAATCCATGTGTCCAGGCACGAACTCTGAAGAGTGTGAATTAATAGGTCTGGGTGGTGACAAAATATTATTTTTAGTTCCCCAGGGAGGGTTCTAATGTGAAGCCAAAGTTGATATACAGAGTTGGTCTAGAGGATGTGGTGGAATGGCATGGCTACAGTAAACTCAAAGAGTATTTTACTTTTAAAAGGTAAATACCTTCTAAAATGAGTTACCACCATATTAAAAACTCTCCCTAGGGAAAATTAGTTTTATATATTGTGACTTTATTCATCACACAGATAGAAACATAGTTTTAAAAAGCAAGTCAGCAAAGGGAGCCCAAATTACCCAACAGAGGTCGAGTCATGGGGGAAAACAAAATATTTTACCTCTGCAAAGTTCAGGAATATTAAATAAGGGTTATTAAAATTTTTCAGGTCAAGTCTTGACAACAAAAGTTTTCCAAGTTTCACTTGCAAGTAGTCAGAAAGACATCCACTGCCCAAGAAAATCAAGTGTGCTGGGCACTGAAGCTGAAAGAACCAAGTACCTCTCTTCATTTAACACTTATATGGGAAAGTAGGTTTGGCCTAGCAACTAAAAGTCAAAGCCAACAATGCCATTAAGCAAATGCGAAGAAGGCATAAACAGGCAGAAGAAAACACAGAAGGTAGAACAAGACAACACTAATGACAGCAGTTCCAAATCAGGAACTCCTGGTTCACAGTGATCTACAAAAATCAAGCAGACCTGCTCAGCTTAAGAAGCAATTGCCTGTTGATGAAAGTCAAAAGTGAATGACTAAATAATTTCACCTAGATGTGGCTGTAATTACTCAAAGAGAAACTTATGAGCATAAAACACATGCCGGGTAGAAGGCAGAATTTGCCATTTTGGCATCTATTTGCACATCCTATTTGTGGAAAAGCCTGAGACACTATCATTAGTAATTAATATTAGTCCCAAAGATGCTGAATGATTCCAAGTTTCTTTAATTGATCTTTTGATAAGAACAAGCCATTGAGTATTTTTCTATAATGCTACTTAAGTTGATTTATAACTGCTATATTGTTGTGGGGAAAAGATCAGGGTGAGGCCAGGAACATGTGGGTGAAAGAATTCACCAGACACAGAATGGAGACCAGAACAGGTGAATTTGTTGACATGCACTGCTAAGACAAGCCGTGAGCGAGACAGAGGACGTCTGCGTGCTAAGGAGCATTTTGAGGCTCTCTTCTACACTGTTTTCACAGGCTCTCTACCTTGGTGCAGGCGCCAGTTTGCACCAGTCATTTGCTGGGTGTCTGGTCTCCAGCACTGGTCTTTGACACAGAAGCATGTTCTCACCTCTATTTCTCCATTACTGGAGTGGGGCTGGTTTCTCTGGTCATGGTGGCCTGTTTCATGGCCTTGCCCCAAGGCAGCCTTCTCCATGCCCTTATCTATTCCAGCCTCCCAAGCCTACCTGCTGGGTCAGGAGTGAGGGCTTAATTTAAACCTTATTCAGTTCTACGCCAACAATGATAGCATTCTTAGCTGGGTGGGATAACAGTATAATGCAGGAGAGAGGAAACCAAGTCCTCTTCAGACCTGATTAGACACCACAGGTCCCAAGTCCCACTCCAACTTCAAACAACAGTTTTGCCTTTTTGCATGTTTCGACTTTAGCAAGACAAAGTATTTAAACTAAGCGCTTTCCGGATTTAAAGGGGTGGGGGCACATTCCAGCACAGTGGTTCTCAAACTTACCAGTGAGCATAAGAATCCCTAGGAGAGCTTGCTAAAACACAGGTTACTGGGCTCCAACCCCGGAGTTTATCAGCAGGTTTGG